TAGAAAAAGAAGGCCTAAATATATGGCGAACCACGGCCTCTCTCAATCATAGCTCTGTGCTTCATATGAATCACATGGCTCTGCGAGCTATTCGTTTACTTATTAAAAATACTGATTTTAACTATAAATTACTCTGGGATATCTTGCCATTGAAAACAAAAGCCAGAAATTGGAAGAAAAGCAGGGAATGAAATGTGTGTTTTATGTAGTGGAGAACCTGAGTTTGTTTCACATATTTTCATGTATTGGAAATTTACAAAAAATATTTTGGAAGATTTTGTTTTAGATATATTAAAATTGATCAGAATACATTTTGATATCAATATGATTCTTGCATATTATTTAATTTTAACGATCCTTTACATAGTCGTATAGATACTGTTGATTTGGATGCAATTAGACTTTTGTAATCAATAGTGAGAAATATTTCATGACTGCTATTAACTATGTGAGCTATTTTTTCTGCAATGCAAAATATTTCCTTCGTCCGCTATTTACTATGTGAATTAATTTTTCTGTAATGTAAAGTATTTCCATAACTGCTTTTACTATGTTGGCTGTTTTTTCGGTACTCGTAGTATGTGTACCAGGTTAGGTTACGATTCTCCTTATTTTTGTTCTATTAAAAGTTCGGGAATTGTCTGTGTTACACAAGTGAATATCCCCCTACCGATAGAATTTAGTCCATTTACACAACTTGATAGGTAGGCGAACAAAATTAGTTACCTTCATATTGGTACACATACTTCTGGAGCACCATTTTTTTTGTAATGTAAAATATTTAATATGTGAACTAATGCAATGCGTTTTCTTAATATGCAACGAACCATTTAGCTGGACGACGTAAAAAATGCAGGGAACAATGCCACAATGAGCAAATCGTTGCAAGTTTCCACTCATTGTATATATGCTCATTGGGTAGCGGTATATTCCGGTTGCGAATAATACTGGAATACGTATTGAATAAATGTATTTAGACTCCATAATCAGCATAGAATTAACAGGCAATAAAAATGATTGATAAAAACAAATGAGTAAAAACTGATTATGAAATCAGGAGAATAAACAAAACCTTAGAAAAGATTTTTATACGTACAGAATATAAGATGGAAGGTTTTGCCAAGAAGACGTGGTACGTGTTCACTCACCTATTGTATGGAAATTACGTACTAAAAACCTAATATGACGAAGAATATAAAGTAGCATGAAAAAAGGACACCTGGTGCAACGAGATTTTTGTATTCTGTGTATGTCGAAACGTTGAATCAGGGCAGACGGGCGAAAACCGACTTGCTTAAAATGTTAAATTTGTGTTAAAATGTAGTCGTGTGGGAACTTTTGCCGCGATGTTGTATCGGATCGAACACGTTATGAATGTTCCCCGACTCTTTGATCCCATAGAAATTCTCCTCACATTTTACTATAGCAAAAATTTTGTTTTCTTTTCAACAGTGTGTTGAAGAATTGGCGCTTACAAACTGGTTTACATGTTCAAAACCATCATTTTTTAATAAAAACATTCAACCACGTGCCTCTTACAGGTGCTGCTAGCTAATTTTAGTCAAGTCTATCGCGACATGTTCAATCAATCATCATTTATTCCTCAACACAATCAATATAAATATAACACGGAAATATGGCAAGATATAAGGTAAATAAAAAAGACGAACTTTATATGTGTGACAGGAGTCTCGAGGAAGGTCTCCGAGCAGCGACACCTACGATGTTGATTCAGCTTTAAAATAAATTTAGTTAACGCCCATGCTTCTAATTATTAATATTTATAAAACATAAAAAAACGAGACACCAAAACAGTTGAATAATATGTGTATATAACAAATTTGAGAAACAAGAAAACCACCAAATATCTATTACAAACTTTTTTGAAAGAAAACGTAAGTATGTGAAGGAAAAAAATTCAAAGGAGAAACTAAGTATAAAAAGTAGATGAAAATACAATAAATGTACAATTTTCGTATTATATTTTCAGACCGTGTACATAACGGTTCGGGACTAATTTTTAATTATTGCAACTAAACTCCTAGGAAGACATAATGACAATAGACTTATTTGGAAACACGACTGAAAACTGATAAATAAAGCGCAAAATCGCGATATTTGTTTAAGCAAAAGAAGTGTCTTCGCGACTGAATAAACTGCATTGGTACGTCGTCGTAAATTTATTGCTGATTGGACGTTGTTACAGAATTGAAGTTTGAAACCGATGCTAGGGAAAACATAGGCGCTAGAATAAAACAGAAAGGTGGATTTCGAACGTCAGGCTATATGCCATTTCGATATAAATAAATTAAAGAGTAAAAAAATATCTATTCTCATTGGCCCATATTTTTATTACTTTCTGAAAGACTTAAAGTCTCAAGCGATACATCGATCTGACACTGTATAATGGCATTTAGTCCTTCGGTGCAGCTTCATTTTGAAAATGTCAACTTGAAACATGTGACATCATGAGCAATCACATTGTCAAATGTCAATCAACTATGACGGTGGGAATTGCTAAAACTTACTTAGTATGCATCTCAGCATAGGTATACTCATCGTCAGAGACAACGAAGTGCCCTATAAATATTAACGTGTTCGGTTAACATTACGTGTTAGATTAACATTCTCCGTTTAGGCCCGAATTTAAAACTTTCCCTACCTGACATATAGTGAAAATATTGTTGTTGCAATGAGCGTGTGCAAAATTCTCATGAGACACTTTGTTATTTGAACGATGCTCCCCTAAGTTATATATACGCTTTGGGCAGACCAGGCCCAGTCTAGGAGTATAAGCGGTTGAGGGTATGATGTGTTTTGGGAAACTACATTTTTGAGGCTGTTAATTGTTTTCAAACCCAAGTTCATATAAACTGCTGATATAATTAATGTCACATAAACAACTTAAACTTATGTCTTTTTGTTGCTTTATGTGACTACAGTAATCTCAGCAGTTCATGTGGACTGAAGTGAAAAAAGTTTGGGAACAATTAACTTATATCTTTTTTGATGCTTTATTTGGCTTTAGTAACCTCAGCATTTCATGTGAACTTGAGTTTGGAAACAATTAACAGCTCCAGATGTTTGGGTTCTTAAAATACAAACATTTGAGCCATTTATTATTTATAAAGAATTTCAATTTTAGGCAAGCCATTAGTCAACTATAAATGACATTTTACTCATAGAATCCCTCCGTATATAGTGGGATAGCATACCACTTCAAGATATATTGCGGCAATAAAAAACGGTGGTAGAAATTCAAGCAAATTTATTTGGCAGTGCTGTTTTTTTTTTCAATTGGAGAGTATGCCGCAACACGCAACAGAGTTTGCCAGTGTATAAGAAGAGCAGAGAACATGGTTGAAATTTGCCAATGCTAGTTTTATGTTACTGCCCTGATCAGTGACATATAAAATATTTTTCTGTTAAATACAGGAATGAAACTAGCTCTACAGTAAAACGAGATGGCAAAGTATCTTTGACCTCAAGCTTCCCAATTTGCACACCAAAAAAACCATCACCGAATTGTTCTCATAAGAGGCTGAACTCTAAAAAGGAGAAGTGGATATAATTTCTTTCGATGGAAGGTGGGGTGGTTGAAGTCAGTAAAACGCTGAACCGTAAAAGGAAGAAGTGGGTGAAATTTCTTCTGACGGCAGCTGGGTTGATTGAAGTCACTAAAAGGTTGGAAAGTAAGGAGTGAATAAATTTTTTTAAACGAATGGTAGGGTGGTTAAAGTTTCTAAAAGGCCGTTCAACCATCTCACTATTTTCTGGGAAAAGTTTCATTCAATTGTTACTTTTAGTTTTCAGCGGTTTAGCGATACAGTACTCATTTATATGGGCCAAAACTAAATAGTGTGGGTATGCAATCTATCCGGTAGTATACCGGTACCGCAGTCTTCACGTATTCACCCGAGGTGGGTAATATTTAATTTGATGACGTCATCGCACGCAAAAACGAAACCAATGAATCCCACAGAATTTCTGGTGATAAATAAAAGTATTAGAAATCATTCAAAGTTTTTCGGAAATTGGTCCGGTAGTTGACGAGAAAGTCGAATTTTTCACGATAAGAAGAAGGAAAGAATGACTAATAAGAACAATAGCACAGTAACAAAAAATTTCCTGTCCAATAAATGAAATACACAGCGTTGTGATCAAGGAATACTGACTTGGAATTTCTATCCGGTTAGGAAGCATCCGAAAATATTGATTTGCCGACAATATGAGACGAAAAGTCCCTGACCTCCTTTTTCAGTTCCACGTATACTAATTACCCATATGAATATTAATCAGTTGGTCTGTTTGAATTCTATGAGCTTTAGAATGTGTCATTCAAATTTTTGCAAGTACAATTGCCGGAGGGTGGTTTACAAAATCACATGCCGGTTAAGGCTTTCTCCGCCATCAAATCTGAAAACAAAAAAAAAACAGCTAACTAAATCCATACCTGACATGGACTGGTAACTTGACGAGAGTCCGTGATTGGCCATAAGATTGAGCTTTATTATTGCTTTTTCTCTCCCCGTGGGTAAATATGTAAATCCTAATTGCATAAAAAAAAATATATTATACACAATTTTCCTGGGTAAGAGGCTATCCATGTCTCGAATGTGGCTTGTAGACTGATTTAGGCTTTTATACATAATAAGTATTACATTGTACTTGACCCAAAAAATTGTCTAATTAAAGTTTATTCTATGCAGCGAGATAATTCTCATGATAAATCTTATAATCGTTTTATGTTCTTCTTGGCATCATTTCCACTTTTTCTTGGCAAAACCTCCTATCTTATATACATTCTGTACGCTTTAAACCTTATCCAAGGTTTTGTTTGCTCTCCTGATTTCATAATCAGTTTTTATTTTTACCAATCATTTTATTGTTATGCTAATTATGGAGTCAAAATAAACTTATACTTATGAATATTGACTCGGAACACCCTTAATTAGTGATGCGTATACATATTTCCTGTTTGTGGAAAATTATGCGTGCCTCGCCCAATTTGTCTTACTTCTTGCTGCACTGAGTCCGCCGTTTGGTCGCCTGTATTTTTAGCCAAAATTATAGAGCATATAAGTTGATTTTCAGTTCGCGTTGACTGACCAGAGTCCGCGAACATATTTTGATAAGTTTTTATACACCGATATCTGTGCATTACCGCAGCTAACGTTACAGAACAAGGTGATATCATGGCGGAGGTTCATAGCTTTGGAAGCCAGCCGGTTTGCGTCCATGCATGGAATTCTGATCGCACTCAAATTGCTCTCAGTCCTAATAACAATGAAGTGGAAATATACGAAAAATGTGGTCGTCAGTGGAAGAAGATTCACACTCTGACTGAGCACACTGGTCGGGTTACTGGGATTGACTGGGCACCTAAAAGTCAACGACTGGTAACATGCTCCAGTGATAGAAATGCTTACGTTTGGAGCTTGGATCAGAATCAATGGAAGCCTACACTTGTGATTCTCCGTATTAATCGTGCTGCTACATGTGTGAAATGGTCTCCTAATGAGGATAAATTTGCAGTAGGCAGTGGTGCCAGAGTGATTTCAGTTTGTTATTTCGAGCAAGATAATGATTGGTGGGTCAGCAAGCACATTAAAAAACCGATCAGATCCACAATTCTCAGTTTAGACTGGCATCCAAACAACATTCTAATTGCTGCAGGTTCATCCGATTTCAAGGCCAGAGTCTTTTCTGGTTATATAAAGGATATAGAACCAAAACCGTCTGCCACAAATTGGGGAAAGAAAATGACTTTTGGAAATGTGATGCAAGAGTTTTCGATGCCTTCGGATGGTTGGGTGCAAGGTGTAAAGTTCTCAGAATCTGGAGAAAAAATTGTTTTCGTGTCACAAGATAGTTCAATCGGGGTTGCATATGGTGGAGAAGAAGCTGTGACAATGAAGACATCGCATCTTCCGTTTTGTGATTGTACTTGGCTAACAGAATATAGCATTGTTGCTGTTGGACATGATTGCAATCCAATGCTTTTCAGCACTGATGACAGATGCTCAGCTATAACATTCATAAATCGCCTGGACCAAGTGTCAAAGAATGCAGGCGCAAAGACCATGTCAGCTATGGATAGATTCAAAATGATGGACAAGAAAGCCTCGACAGATACTCAGAGCGATGACATCAGGACGAAACACAAGAACAGCATTACGCAAGTTGTCAAATGTGGCCAGGGAAAGTTTTCAACCAGCGGTATGGATGGCAGTGTGATTATTTGGGATAATAAATCTCTGGAGTCTTCCATTTCTGGATTACGCATCAAGTAGATGAAATTTATGTGATATCGGACTGCTATGACAATAAAATATATAATCAAGATATTTCTTTTTTAATTTCTAGTAGCCTATAAGAAAAAAACAATCAAGTGTAGTATTCAGTTAAGAAGACAAAGAGTGCTTTATTGTATGAATGTCACCATTTCCGTCATTTGAAATTTTGTAATTGGCTAATATATGAAAAACTTTCATTCGAAATTTGCAGTATCATTATGTGTGAATTTTGAAACTTCGCTTGACAAGAATTTAGTTTTAATTGCAACTACTTTCTACAGTGATCCCAGTTGTGTGATTGTATCCCAAAGATTTTTAGTTTAAGTAAAATATTTATGATTAAGACAATACCGGATTTAACAAGAAAATGTATGTTCGATAAATGATTAAATGAAATTCTCCTTAAGTTGTTAGTTTATTAAAGATTATTATTGAAGAAATAATATTTATGATTAAGACAATACCGGCTTTAACAAGAAAATGTATGTTCGATAAATGATTAAATGAAATTCTCCTTAAGTTGTTAGTTTATTAAAGATTATTATTGAAGAAATAATATTTATGATTAAGACAATACCGGCTTTAACAAGAAAATGTATGTTCGATAAATGATTAAATGAAATTCTCCTTAAGTTGTTAGTTTATTAAAGATTATTATTGAAGAAATTATATACAATCATAGTTCCATATGTTATCTATTACTGACAAAAGGAAAAGCCTAGGCTGAATGAGAAATGCTTCTCTGTTAAGTTTTCTTAGCTTTCTTTTGGTGAGCAAGATTTTGTGTTTTGCGTTTCATCTGAATGAGTTATTCATTATGCTAGAATCAACAGTCAAGGGGTCCTACCGTCCTGTTGCTAAACACTTGTTGCCCATTTTTGACTGAACTAAAAATTAGAGATGTATCGGTATCGGCCATGTATCGGTATCGGTTAGATTAAGGCCGATATTTCCGATATATTTACCTTTTTGATATGGTCCAGAATGTTTTAAAAGATAAGTTGGAATACTACTTTTTTAGTTATTTTTTGTCTGGAGAGATCGTGAGCTATGAGCCATACATGTCCCCACCCCCACCAGAGAATAGGATTCACGTGTTTTCAGCTATTTATCAGCTAAACTAGCTCAACTAATTTGGCTATTTTCGCTGTCAAATATTTATATTGACATTTTTAATATTACATAGTAATTATGAAGAAATATATCAACACAGCACATAACAAAAAGCAACTATGGGCGCCCATTTTCAAATCATACAATGAAATGGGGGTCCTTATTAACGGCACATGGACTTTTGGCACGGGTATAAATTCTGACTGTTTGTTGTCAAGTACGAGTGTCATTTAGTCCGTCGACATCGATAAACTAAATTCCGACACAATTATCCCTCTACGCAGGTGTTAATTTTAATTTTGTTTAACTTACACAATTTCTTTATAGATATATTGACATGACCGCCTAGTCCTAGACTGTCTCAAAATATATGATAGCAATTGTAAAATATTATAAAATAGTAAAGTAAAAAAACATCCTCCACGGTTATTGGTAGGCCTTCTTTTTGTTGGTGCTGGTTGATATTCTTTCATGTTGGCTTTGACTTATTGCGTCGACGATAACGATTAGCAGCCAAGAAATAAAATATTTGTAAAATGCTTTTAATTTGGCTCGGCGGTGTGGCGCATTGTGCTAAGCGTTAGGAATACGCTCGCCACCGCATCTCTGATTACCCTTCGTGGGGTCGCAGGTTCGAATCCCATGCGGGGATGATCATGTGCGAGAGGAATGCTGGACTCCTCGCCGCCGTAGGGTGGTTCACGTAACCGCTGGTCGGTTACGGCTTCCTCCACCATCAAGTCCATGCTTCCGAAAACAAATAACTGGCTAACTAATCCCATACCCGACCTGGACTGGTAACCGGACAAGAGGCCGTGGTTCGCCATATGATTAAGCCGTCTTATCGGCTTTCCTCTCCCCCGGGATAAATATGTAAATCCTATCCTATAATTTGAACGTAGGACGGCGGCGCTAGAATGTGTGGGTGATATTCGATATTCTTTTAAACGCGAATAACGATATTCGAAGGTCGCGATATTAACATTAAATTCAAATTGGACATCCGGCTTATGCGTTTTCTAATTGAACACCGAGATTACTAGCGTTACTGTACAATGTATCTTAATCAGTTAAAGCAAACACCAAACATTAATTTCATATTATGTGATATATATATCTCCTTTTCGGTTCCATTACATTTGAACCCACGTACATTTGAACCCATGACAATTGCACCTGTATGCTATTGCACCTATGGAATTTTTTTTGTTTCACGGATAGTTAAACCCATACTAACCCTAACCCATGGGTTTTAGCACCCGCATATAGATTGAACCCGTGGATATACGCATGGGTTCAAATGTACATGGGTTCAAATGTACGGTCACCCTTTTTTTCGATCTGAAATAATGTGTACTATGAACAACGCTCAAAGACCATTGTTTTAACACGTCTGCCCTACACAGCACACCTAATTAAGTAATAATTACATAGTATCGGTATCGGCGTTTTTAGCTGGTATCGGCGACAAAAGTGGTATCAGTACATCTCTACTAAAAACCTTTACTGCTCCTGTTTTTGAGTAGTTTTACAAAGTTAATAATTGGTCACCATACCCTCACAGTTTGGTCTCGAAAGCACGAAAGATGAAGTGATGCATTTTATTTATAACTGAAGTAGATATATTAGGTTGGAATGAAAAAAGCAAGAGTCCGAGTACGTTACAAAATTTCGATGACCTAAGACACGACTGTTTGACAAAAACCCTCTACAAATATAACAGCAGTTTGGGACTTCTACATTATAATAAGACAATATAATGGAGTACCAAATAAAACTTCAGGACAGAGGTACGACTCAATGAAGAATATACTATAGTCTTAATGACGGGTGCAGGTCCCATATTTTGGTGTAAAAAAGAATTAGGGTATATATATATCACCAATTCATACTGTGTAATAAGGTTTGCTCGGGACATAAACTTACCGAGGGTCTGCACATACCGACATTCGTTGGAATAACAACTAGAGATGTGTCGGGCATGGGCTATTTCTTGGATATCGGATAAAAATTGACCCATATTTCGATATATTCAGCTCTTTGATCTTATCTAGAATACTTTAAAGTATAACTTAGTATACGCAAATGGAACATGCTCGTAGCATTTACTGTCTTATCAAACTCTAGTAACACACCATTGAATCACAAATTCGGATTTGAAGTTGCGTGTTCTGTGATATATGTTCTTCTAGTTTACTGTGAATACTGTTCGGTGTTTGGAGACAAATATTTTTTATTCCGTCCACTCATTGTATATACGTTGATGTTAATATCACATATATTATCGGAATATCGGCAATTTCAAATATCATTTGTTTGAAGTCCAGAGATAATAATGCTTTAAATATATATAATAAAAGAAATAGGATTAATAGAAAGTCTGGTACAAACAAAAAGGCAATCAATTTATCACCGTTGAGTGATATATATTTATTTTCACCGTGCACGGTAAATTATAATCAGCTTACCATATTTTTATATTTTCGAGGATACAACCAGGGGCGGATTAAGCCCCCTTGGTGCTCTAAGCACTGAAGACTTTGGTGCCCCCTCAAGTGTAATTTAATTATAAAAACAATAAACCACATAAGTGTATTATCCATTAAAAATAATCCCAACCAACAGTAAATAAAACAACTTTTAAGAACATTTTTAGGTTTTTCAACTGTTATATATATATAACCGATATATATATATATATCGGGCGTTTACTGCCGATACGATTTATATATATAGGCAAACACGCAATATTGGGCCGATATATCGGTTGAGCTCTAATCCTGAGGGAGTGTGACAATAAAGATTCATGTCTCCAGTCTCAACGTGAATCGAAATACCAGAGTATAAAAGTCACAACTGTAGTTTGAAATTATACCGGTACCTGGTAGTCTACCTCAGGGTGGTTCAAGGTTGCTAGGTTGAAGGACCGCAAAAACTTTTGAGGAGGTCTCGCGGGCCACAAGTCGGAGAAAACCCAAAAGTGATCGAAATATCGCGAGTTTACTTACTTTTAATTTATTTAACAACCAGAGTTTACCGTTCTAATCAGACTGTTATTATGTTGCATGGGCGGCGTTCTTTTAAAAAACGATATATATATAAAGCCTTCAGTTATTTTAAAGTTAATTCCCGAGAATTGACGTTGTATTTTGCGCATCTCGCTTTTAATGTCGCTTCAAATTATATTCTTTCGTGACAGATATATATATATTACTTGAAATCAAACCAGATACCGTATGATGTGCAAGGAAATACGTTTTTGCCGTGTTTTCCTTATGTCACCTTTCTTGCGACACTCATTTTATTATGAATTGTTATATTGAGTAATTTAAAAACTTGCAGCGTGAGCAAGCTTAGTGCCATCGTCAAATACCAACCAAGTCCGTCTAAGTTGGTATTTCGGGACCTAGCTAAAAAAAACTGGATTGTGCGGCGTTAAGTCGGCTCTGCGTTTCGTCAGTACTGTCACAGGGCCGACGCTTGAAAGCAGAGGAGTGTTTTTACTAAAATAAAAGCACAAAGCGTTAGAAATGGGGTTTGAGTCTTGGGATCCTAACCCCAGTTGGAATAGCTGAAAAAAAACTCAAAAACGTTCCTCCATTAGATACAAATATACGCTAAATTTGTTCTGTGAGTCGCACGGAATGTATTAGCATCACAGGGTTTGGACCACCCTGATCGAAAAACTTCCGACATCGCTGACCACTAGATTGTTGAAATGCGATCGTGGAACCGCCACAGTTCATTGGTCCAATTGTTGAAGAAGAAGGTCCAATTTTTTTTTAAACAAAAATGCAGCAACAAGGAGAATACTAAGAAGACAAAAAACAACAATTTAAGAAAACGACTCATAGGCCCATTTCGTGTCCAAAAAAAAAGTTTCAGTGTTTATTTTCAATAAAGAAGGTTAATATGATACTTGGAGACGAAAAATAAGCAAACATTTTGAAGTTTGAGTCGTCTGGTGAACTCGTATTATTTTAATAAACACCGATAAACTATATATATGAAATTCTGCTCTAAAATTTCTGTGGTGCCCCTCTTTGCTTGGTGCCTTAAGTACGTGCTTATATTGTTTAATGGTTAATCCGGCGCTGGATACAACAGAAACATTGTTTGGGGTTCATAAACATAAAATTATGCAGAATATAAAGAAATGTAATCAGCGGGAGAAACAATTTCATCGGAAAGTGTTTCGTGATTAATAGGAATTTTTTTACATCCGAGATGAAGTAGGCTAGTTATTTAATCGAATCTTTCGTCTCTTTATGTTTTTCGACTATATTATCCTTCTGTCAAACACTACTTGCATCTGACAAAAATGTTTGAGAAGTAGAATACCATAAACGCAGGTAACCAAGAACGTTAGAAATCTAAATTCCAAATGCGTTTTTGAGCTTTTGCTATAATTTGGCAGCAAATTCCGTGATCTAGGCAAAAATGTCATCAACTCTGATATCGAATTACTCACAAAGTGAACAAAATATGCGTCTTGACTGCTATATCGGTTGAACATCGAGAAAGGCAATTCCTATAATTAGCGGAAAGGATCTCAGATAGTCGGATCGGCAGGCTTGTTCATGAGACATATTTTTTGTCCCATTCCCATCCCATAGCAACTATGCCTGTCCCATCCCATGCCATTGGAATAAAATTCAATAAAAAATGTTAAATTTAAGTTTAGCGTCCACTAAATAGGACTAAATGTACGAAGAGACATGCAAAACAACAAAATTTACGAATCTTGTTAACTTTGTATTCATAACTATTATACATGTGTCCATCAGCCCCTTCACAAAGTACATTGTTAATGCTGAATATGTTCTGCTGTTCGTAACTAACAAGAGGGCTATGCTCAAACATATGGACACGAAATCCATAACGATATGTTCTACCATCATTTCCCCGAAATTCCTACGGTTTTCGTGTCCCATGGGACATACCAATGTGTGCTATCCCACCCCATCTCATGGGACGTTTCCCACGGGAATCCTATTCCCATGGACAAGCCTGCGGATTTGAGTAGAATTGCCACCTAAACCTACAGGAGAGGACTTGTAGCTATCTCGCAAGTGACATTTTATTTGGGATATTATTTTCTTATACCGTGTTTCCCGAAAATAGGATCCTATTTCAATTTTCTTTCGCAAAATAACACTACGGCTTATTTTCGGGGGATGTCTCATATATATTTTTTTTCAATTTGTCATAAACAAAATTACAAAGTAGAGAATTACGAGATTTTCAAATATACAAAATGGATACCGATATCCAACACGTTTTCCTCTCTCACAAGTTTTAGATTAATCCTTTCAAACGTATAGAAGAGCTTTCTTGCTATATCGACTAGGTCAAACAAAATTGGCGCTCTTGACTAGGTCTTATTTTAAGGGGAGGGCTTATATTAAAATCATTTTTAAAATTCTGGCTAGGTCCTATTTTCAGGGTAGGTCTTATTTTCTGGGAAACACAGTAGTTTACTTAGAGCACGTTCTGGGTAGTTGTTGTTGTTGTACAACTTGGGGTACAACGCAAAATTAAAAAACGCTATGCAATTACGGTTGTTATTTTCCTTCTCATCTTTGTGCAATTTAGCGTATATATATTTATCGGCGTTTTGACCAATTCCTTGTTCTCCCGGTTGTATACCTCTCTCGGCTCCTTTTGCTGCAAATCTGGATAAATTCGTGCGCGAATGGTCGCTTTGTACGAATATAGGCATACTGCTCAATTCTCTTTACCTTCCGCGTCGCCATGTAAAATTTTCAGCTTGTTTCTACTCACATATCCAACTAAAGCAAATTCCTCTTGAACTTTCAACAAATACACCGCAGTCGACAATAAAGGCGTTATACGTTCCTCAAACATTCTAGCCCCTTTCAGAAAGGCGTAGTAACGCTGTATATCCGGCAAGAGTTGAAAATCAGTACAGGTCAGAAACGTGAGTTTGAGCTCTAATCCATTTCAAAATTGACCCTTTCTAACTAACTGATTTTTCTAAAGATAGAGATTTTTCTAAAGATTTTTACGCATCAGGGCTTCAATATGGGGTTTATCTTATTTTGCAGAAATTAAGTGAAACATCATTAGTTTTAAGATGGTAAGTAATTACACTGTTATATTGATAGTTACGAGGCAATACAAAAAGCCCTTGGTGAAAATTTACAAATATTTTTTACAAATACTGGCTTATTCGCATGCCCTCAGTTCACACTGTGTTTGACGGATACCTTTTGTCATCGTATTAAAAGTCTTTATAAAAATGAATGGTTATTCTGACACTTGGATCAACCCCATTTCCAAGCCACGAATCCACAAATCCTGCATGTACGTTTGGTGTTTTTTTGTTGAGACTGGCACGAACGTCATTGTAAACAGATCGGTTAGATATGATAGCTATACAGTAGAATTTTTCGTTTTACGTATTTTCTCCGCTGCTGAATATTTCAGGGTATTTGAATAGGTAGCATAACATGTTCAGTAGCATGCATCACCCCGGCGTACTTCACAGAGTTCTGAAAAATAAAACACTAACAGCAAAACATTTTGTACTACTCTAGTATAACCGATATAGAATAACTCATTCTTGAACAGAATTTTCTATAATCATTCCGCAAGCCAGATATGGTGTGATGGTGTCAGTGTCGGGGAGACGAAGTTGAATGTAACAATGTATGAACATCAATTAAATATGTCATAGTGTCCAAAAAAGATTCACGAAAAACAACCTGGTGGACCCCATATAGTATATGAATACTGACATGAATCTATATTCTAAGTTACGGAAAAAACAATTTTATTAGTTCAAACTGGATTAAGACATACAATCATTAGGACACCATTATTGAACCCACATTTGCTATGACGAATAATATCTTTCTGGAGTCCTCTTTGTCTGACTAGTTAAACCAATTTATTTCACGCCCAATACGATACGAAGTTTCTGAACAAACCGATAACATACCTTGATTACTATGTGTGCTAACAATTTATTCGTAGTTTATAGTAACTCGAACTTCGTTGCTCAATGTTGAGTTCGACACTTCGTAGCAAATGCGTCGTCAACGTCGTAATATCAGCAATACGATTATAGGTAGGAGTTGAGCAACGTAAGATATTCCCCGGATGAATACATATTTTAATTTAGTCCAATATTATTGTGAAGGTATAGCAATCTCTAATCTAAATCTGCAACAATAATCTGAAACTGTATTATTTTATTGTTTAATTATTTTCTAAATATGATTTATTGTTGGATAAGCGGTGGAAGTTGTTTTCCATTCTTCTGGATATTCCCGTTCATTCTACTAATATAGTAACCGTAGACATACTCAATATTTTAATGAATGAGCTATGACTACAGTTAGGCTTGCACGTAATTGACAAAAATCAATTCCGTAATTACGGCCAAATCGATTACGTAATGACCCCGTAATTGCGATATTTTTTTCACACTTTTAAACCTATCATAACAACCAATTTAATCCACTTCTATTCCGAATGGGACATCGACAGTTGGGACAGTTTGGTTTTCATATTTCCGCCAGTACTACACGCCGGCGACATATGCTAAAGACAAATATCAAGGAGTGAATTCAAATTAATTTTATTCTGATTTTTATCTTTTGTGTTAGCTTTGATTTTCCTTTATCAACTTTATCACCCAATTTTATGCGATCAATTTTATCATTACCAACACTGGTATGTGGTAATATATTTATGAAACGATAGTTGACTTTTTTAAAATCGTATTAACGTATTAATACGAGTTTCGTATTACGAGTTTCGTATTAAATAAAAATTCCGGGTTTCTAATTTATAAATCAACGACGAGCGTATTCTCTCGTTTGATTATACTTGCCTCACGACGAAGACTTGTTATTGTACCGTTTTTTTATACATTATCCGACTTCACTACCTAGTTAGCATTTTATAATAATTATTGATGCCGACTTATTGACGATATTCCGATTACCATGCTTCATTTTACATTAAATCATTTCGCGGCCTAAATGTTATAACATTATTTGCGATAAATTTAGATTAAATATTAATTATTTGCGCATTATTTAAATACCGTACTTATGTGACATGCCTTCTCCGAAAATACAAAGTTATATCGCAAAACAATGCATTTGGTGGCATTTATTTTGCACTCACGAAAATATTAATTTACTTTTCTAACTCAAGTCGACAATCCTATCGGCTAAGATTGACACAAGTTTGGTCGAGTGCCGGTGGTATTTGAGTCGACGATAAATCAAAATAAGTTGCCGCATTTGGTAAAGACTTAAAGATATTGTAAAGACATATTTGGCCGAGATAGTGCGAGGCATTGTGAAAACAAGGCCAAGTACGGACAGATATATAAGGATAAAACCGGTAACAGAACATCAAGATTTTGTAATAGAAAATGGATCTCGCGCAGAATAAACATGGGAAATCCCGTCTTTTTGTTGTTTCTCTGCCGTCTGAATCGCTTTACCGATGCCGGAAAGACTAGGTTGCGTTGGTTCATTACGCAAGTTCTCTTCCGTCGTCATATTGCTGTTTGATAAGCGCGACATTAATTATCACGGCATTTACAAATAGACCATGTTTTATAAGTTGATCTCTTACATTCTTTAGTCATTTCACCCGAAGAAGTTGAAACCAGGTGTGTTGGCGTCCATCAGTCTCAACACAATTCTATCCCATATCTACGCTTGATATGTACATTTGCCATGCTAGATAAGTTGGTAATAGGTTAGTAAATGGCAACGCGTTATGCCTTCTCCATCTGCATAACAAGAGAGAAAAAAACGGCTGCGAATACCGGAACTCTAACTTCTTCTACTTATTAAACTTTAATTTTTTACAATCGACGGAATTGACTGCTCTAAAGAGAGCTCGTTGCAATCGCGAAAGCGCTCCACCAATACTTACGAATTTACGTAATTCGTAACTTCGCTTCCGTAATTCCGTAAATCCGTAAATTACCTGCAAGCCTAACTACAGTCAACAGTATCTAGCCTGCAATGAAGTTATTATCAGTCTAACATTTCACTCAAGCCTTGAATGATAACGTGGTCAGATCAGATGTGATGTATATCTCCCATGTTGCAAAACCTTATTTATGTTCGTCGTTATTCACGCATTGAAAAGCTTATAAAAAGCTTTCTTTTTTAACAGCTCGGCGAATGAATTTTCCCAAAAAAAGGTCACAGAGCGAGTCCTATGGTTTTTAATTTCGAATAATTGACCGATATTTGCGGCATTTATTGTATCTGATATTCACACAAATTAATTTAGAGAGAAGGTTTGTTCTTAAGTGGTAATACACCTTGAGAACCTCAATATATTTTACCAAATTATGTACTTCTGGAGCGAGATCCTAAATTAGCGTAGGGATCCTAGAGTTCAAATAATTAATTTCTTCTTATCTGTCACATCTAACCTCATTATGGCTCGGTGTAAGAAAATATAGGCTTTGGGTGATACAAAAGTGTAATTTGTATTTACATCATTACATTTCGTATTTAACTAACAACAATTACTGAAAAACGTCGATTCTTTATTGATGTTTATTGTCGTTAGAAATTGGGTGAAATGACGATATTTTCCCGAGTCTGCCGAAATCATGCTCATCGGATATGTAGGTCAAGTTTTGAGGCGTGTTCTTATGAAACCCCTCCATCGCCACTAGACTGTTGCGGTCTTCAGCACTTTGGGTGACGTCAGTTGAATTTACACATACGGTATTATCGTTCGAAGCAGCTGTAATTGTTTCCTCACGCACTGTTCCTCTTGAGGCTAAATGGAGAAAAGAGGCTGTATATTTTTATGTAAAAATTGCAAAGATATAGGGGAGAGGCTTTTGAAAATAGTACAACTATGCCGATCTAAAGTCAACGAAATGTGTTGACAACAGTGCCTGAAAAAATAATCAAAACAAATTATTTGACATATATATTATTTCTCGGTTAATTCTTCAAACACACCATCTCTATGGTGTTATATACACATGAAGACAGTCAAAGACTAAACCTGTAATGGCCACGCCAGAGTGACTTCAAATGAGTTTCAGAAGTATACGTTATTGGCTTTCCCAAACAATTGCAACGGAACGAAAAATGCATCATATTTTAATTAGGCCATTTGGCAAATCTAACCTGATACGGAATCAAGATCTTCAACCGTATAAAAGTTTTTCAATTCCCGTGTCCAAAGTTTTCTAACATCATTTCTTCGTACACAAAATAACAGGAACATGAAGAAGCCCTAAAATTAGGCAAAAGAATATGAGTATAAAATAGGATAATGAAGACAGATTGACAATACACACATTGATTTTAATAAGTTACCTGCAACGCATTTGTTACCGAGAATAACCAACCAAATATAGTGTTCACAGTTGGATCATCAGACAAAGTTAAAGGAATTGCAAACACCCATGATAAACCCAGCAGAACAGACACCGTGATAGCTCGCGTAACGTAAGTGCGAATGTCCATCGGATTTGTTTGTGACCCAACCTACAATATGATAATATAACATGTTTGTTTCCGGATATTGTACAAAGATACTAAAAGAAAAAATAATCCGATCTCAAACCTGTTTTCTTCCGCATGTAATTGACCATAAAATGACGATCGCCCCGGAAAAACTGACAACAAATGCTGCCGCTACCGGTATGAGAAATCCGAATATGAGGGAATAACTGTGGAGCCAACATAGCCGATCACTGACATAAGACGAAGGAAAGAAGTCCGACCCTGGAAGTGAGAGAAATTTACATCCGATTCCGAACGATTTAATTGAAAACGGGCCCGACTCCATATGGAATAGAATATCTTGGAGTTTCTCCCGGAAATATTGACTTCGATTATCACTATTGAAAATTCCCGACATCAAATATTTTATTGATATTCGAGCTCCAATATCAATAAAAAAGATGCCACAAATTCCGACTGCATAGCTTTCATATTTCTACAAGTTGCAACTGTTTCCGATTTGCATTACAGTTGTGGCTATGCAACAATTATAAATAAAATTGTCTCATATTACTATTCTTTTATTATACCTGGTGTGATCCAACCGCCGTAGTTGGTAGTGTCATACCACGTGACTGAAATGACCATTGTTGTTATTACAATTACCGCCGATATAACGTACACTGTTGCTGACGAAAGCGTTATGCCTTCTCCATCTGCATAACAAGAGAGAAAAAAACGGCTGCGAATACCGGAACTCTAACTTCTTCTACTTATTAAACTTTTAATTTTTTACAATCGACGGAATTGACTGCTCTAAAGAGAGCTCGTTGCAATCGCGAAAGCGCTCCACCAATACTTACGAATTTACGTAATTCGTAACTTCGCTTCCGTAACTCGAAATAATTCCGTAAATCCGTAAATTACCTGCAAGCCTAACTACAGTCAACAGTATCTAGCCTGCAATGAAGTTATTATCAGTCTAACATTTCACTCAAGCCTTGAATGATAACGTGGTCAGATCAGATGTGATGTATATCTCCCATGTTGCAAAACCTTATTTATGTTCGTCGTTATTCACGCATTGAAAAGCTTATAAAAAGCTTTCTTTTTTAACAGCTCGGCGAATGAATTTTCCCAAAAAAAGGTCACAGAGCGAGTCCTATGGTTTTTAATTTCGAATAATTGACCGATATTTGCGGCATTTATTGTATCTGATATTCACACAAATTAATTTAGAGAGAAGGTTTGTTCTAAAGTGGTAATACACCTTGAGAACCTCAATATATTTTACCAAATTATGTACTTCTGGAGCGAGATCCTAAATTAGCGTAGGGATCCTAGAGTTCAAATAATTAATTTCTTCTTATCTGTCACATCTAACCTCATTATGGCTCGGTGTAAGAAAATATAGGCTTTGGGTGATACAAAAGTGTAATTTGTATTTACATCATTACATTTCGTATTTAACTAACAACAATTACTGAAAAACGTCGATTCTTTATTGATGTTTATTGTCGTTAGAAATTGGGTGAAATGACGATATTTTCCCGAGTCTGCCGAAATCATGCTCATCGGATATGTAGGTCAAGTTTTGAGGCGTGTTCTTATGAAACCCCTCCATCGCCACTAGACTGTTGCGGTCTTCAGCACTTTGGGTGACGTCAGTTGAATTTACACATACGGTATTATCGTTCGAAGCAGCTGTAATTGTTTCCTCACGCACTGTTCCTCTTGAGGCTAAATGGAGAAAAGAGGCTGTATATTTTTATGTAAAAATTGCAAAGATATAGGGGAGAGGCTTTTGAAAATAGTACAACTATGCCGATCTAAAGTCAACGAAATGTGTTGACAACAGTGCCTGAAAAAATAATCAAAACAAATTATTTGACATATATATTATTTCTCGGTTAATTCTTCAAACACACCATCTCTATGGTGTTATATACACATGAAGACAGTCAAAGACTAAACCTGTAATGGCCACGCCAGAGTGACTTCAAATGAGTTTCAGAAGTATACGTTATTGGCTTTCCCAAACAATTGCAACGGAACGAAAAATGCATCATATTTTAATTAGGCCATTTGGCAAATCTAACCTGATACGGAATCAAGATCTTCAACCGTAAAAAAGTTTTTCAATTCCCGTGTCCAAAGTTTTCTAACATCATTTCTTCGTACACAAAATAACAGGAACATGAAGAAGCCCTAAAATTAGGCAAAAGAATATGAGTATAAAATAGGATAATGAAGACAGATTGACAATACACACATTGATTTTAATAAAGTTACCTGCAACGCATTTGTTACCGAGAATAACCAACCAAATATAGTGTTCACAGTTGGATCATCAGACAAAGTTAAAGGAATTGCAAACACCCATGATAAACCCAGCAGAACAGACACGGTGATAGCTCGCGTAACGTAAGTGCGAATGTCCATCGGATTTGTTTGTGACCCAACCTACAATATGATAATATAACATGTTTGTTTCCGGATATTGTACAAAGATACTAAAAGAAAAAATAATCCGATCTCAAACCTGTTTTCTTCCGCATGTAATTGACCATAAAATGACGATCGCCCCGGAAAAACTGACAACAAATGCTGCCGCTACCGGTATGAGAAATCCGAATATGAGGGAATAACTGTGGAGCCAACATAGCCGATCACTGACATAAGACGAAGGAAAGAAGTCCGACCCTGGAAGTGAGAGAAATTTACATCCGATTCCGAACGATTTAATTGAAAACGGGCCCGACTCCATATGGAATAGAATATCTTGGAGTTTCTCCCGGAAATATTGACTTCGATTATCACTATTGAAAATTCCCGACATCAAATATTTTATTGATATTCGAGCTCCAATATCAATAAAAAAGATGCCACAAATTCCGACTGCATAGCTTTCATATTTCTACAAGTTGCAACTGTTTCCGATTTGCATTACAGTTGTGGCTATGCAACAATTATAAATAAAATTGTCTCATATTACTATTCTTTTATTATACCTGGTGTGATCCAACCGCCGTAGTTGGTAGTGTCATACCACGTGACTGAAATGACCATTGTTGTTATTACAATTACCGCCGATATAACGTACACTGTTGCTGCAGCTTTTGTTACATAGTGTGATATCGCTTTAGAAAATACGGACACCAATTTCCTGAAAAGCAACATGGGACGATGTATTCCGTAATATCGATTTAAATATTTCGATTCCCAATCTCATAATATATATATATATATAGGCCATGAATTGGGCATGGCCAAATAGGTCGGGCTAGGCAACGGGACTAAAAGACACTTAGTATTTTTGAGCAGTTAATTGGAGATTCAGAATTGATTAATTGAAGCGGCCTGGTGGAATTATTGTTTTTATCATCATCATTATCTTTTTACTAACTGGATTATTTGATTACTTATTTAATGCCTGATATACAGTTTTACACGGAATATGAATTTTCATTGCTTACTTATTTGGATGTTGTCAGGAGCTAATTACGTAGGTTGTTTCGTCTTTTTTTTACGCAGAACTAGGGTTTCCAAATAAATGAGCTCAAACGAAACAAGCTATACTACATGCGCCAAATTTGGCTTAATGTCTAGACTCTAGACCGAGAAATTGGTATGCATCAGATGTTCCTTCCCTTGGGTATACGAAAACAAATCAGAAAATATAGCTTCATGTTATGGGTATTGTTGAAAATTGCGTACTTATCCAAATATTTTAAAATTCTGTATTTACTTTTCGCTTTCGATTTTTTTCGATCGACACTTTTATTTTATGCTTTTAATTCCGAATCGATAACATATAGTCAAATAAGCTATTCGTAAATATGTTGTTACAGATTTCGTAGAAACACCAAGAATATCTTTTTGTAATATTTACACGTAAAATAAACTCTTTGACGCTAAATGGCCCATTTTTGCTTACTTATACATAGTGATGCATTCTACCACCATCCACCCCCATGAACTCAATAGAAAGAAGTGTAGAAGAGCAGCAGATGCAATGCAGAGACCGTAGGCTTTTGGACGTTCAGTAGACGAAAGCAAAATAATGTATGACAACATAAGACAAAAACCCAAATGGGAATGAATCTTCACAATCTCAGATTTTCTTAATATTCTGAAAAATCATAATGCATGTTTTGAATTAATCATCCACCGTACTGAAGTTTTGTTTGGAGGAAATACTTGAAACTACTTGAGAGTGGATAGATCCTCAAAATAGTAAGGGAGAGAAAGAAATATCATTTGTCAACCAACAATACAATCATCGTACATTAAAAAAAAATTAGGACAATAATTCTCCGAGAAGAATCAATCTTTTACACGCATTTACATTTTGACTGAAGATAACCTAAGAAAGTCAACATCATAAATTAATAGTTACGTGGATAATATCATGCTCAGTAAAATGATGAAAATGTGTTCACTTACGGAAAGTAAAGATGGATTAGCAGCATAAACAAAAGTCCAAATATTGAAATTAGGCAACACACTTTTCCCACGATTTCAAGCGAATACTCCTGCATCTTCTCATGCGTTTGCTGTTCACATATAAAATATTTAAAGATTTTTCCACAGTGAAAACTATTTTTGAGGGTAATTTATGCGTGACCGTGGTTCTAATTATGAAGAATCGTGAATCATGACGTGCAAAGGGAACACTTACTACAAACATGCTTTCTACTGCGTAAGGGCTTCGATAATGTGAAAGAACAGCATACGTACCACTAGAACTGCAAAATTTGTCATGTGATTGCACGTGCAATTTGGGGGATCTGATCCAGGAATTGTTTCACATCCATCCGATAACCATTCTCCAGTCTTCTCATTCAAGAACGAACATTTAAAATATTGCCTTACTTTAGCGTTCTGAATAATTATCAAAACGTGATTACAAAGAAAGAATGTTTTGGACTAAATTTTAACGTATAAACGTATGTCCCGCGTACATATCGAATTTACGCCAATACTCGATATGTACCAAAATCGTATGCGCTGTAAGTAACATGTAACGGAAGTATGTTTCAAAACTGTGTATATCCGATAGATCCACATCCATTATTACAGCCATACTAAGTAATAGCAGACAAGGGTCGTGGTTTTTACACGCACATTCCCTTTGGGATAAGCTCTGTAGAAATAACTACTCGCGGATCATTGTCGTCCTCAGGCCTAGGGTGTAGGCGTGGATAGATAGACACAACATGATTTCCATCAGTGGCTTGTATCGTCAGTATTGTAGCCACCGCAATTACCCATGTATCATATTGAACACACAGCCGAAATTTGTAGAAAATATTTATGTTATTTTGATATAATAAAAGATAAAATCTAATTGATGCTTTTCCATTTTTTTGTCAATCATTTTTTTCGATCTCTTGGATGAAACTATTAAATCCTTGTATACAAAGCCATATTATTTTTTAAACAATTAACCAAACGGTACGGCCAGTTGTTTTGTGTATGGTGGTGTATATTGTACTCGGGATACATACGATGTTCATATGATATATGAGTTACTTAGTAGGACATAAGTTACTTGCGGTATACGACGCATCCGTCCAATTGACACTATTTAGGGACATTGAGAGATAGTGAAGCACTTGTACGCGAGCGCTCCATTTGTCAATCTCAAAACTAAAAGTACTAACACAGGGTTATAAGCAGTGTTCCTTCTAAGAAAATTTCACACTGCGCAAATGTTGTTTTGAATGAGCAAGACTATTTTAAGGCTGAACAGAATACTAATTTTATGTGAAATATTACAATGGTATTATATATTATCAGGATGCGAACAAAGCACACATTTTACTCAAATAGCTTATTCTTGCTTTCGTGCTTTTCCAATGTTCATACATTTTTCAATGTTTAATTCTGAAACCAAGCGACAATTATCTAGTTCTAAAGTACAATACTCTATGTACAATATCAACTTTCTTGTTGTTGAAATATCATTGCTTTCATCTACAATCAGGGTATGAAATTTTGTTTGTCTCTTGCAAGATGTCATGCCTGACGCGTGACGCCAACGTCTATGCTTTTCAGAAATTCTAAGCCGTAATTTTTCATTCGCCATGAATGTGGCAATTTAGTGTATTTTGTCATATGACTATTTATTACTTTGTGGGACAATATTGATCAATTCAGCTTAAAACGTGGTCGAACACTATCTATGTGAGACTTCATTTCACTTGACGAGTTTTCAAAACTTCATTCTCTTTATAATTGGCATCGTGGTGAAAAAGTTCAAACTACCTCCTATTGATTCAAAATATCGCTTTCTGAGTTAATGCACCTAGTGCGTCAATGTACTTTTTATGATTCAAAAGTCGTTTTAGATAGTCAACTTCCCATTACTCCCATGAGTTACTTTTTCCAAAATCACTATCAGGTGCCACTTCCTGACAAACTCCGCAGATTATCACATTCCTTGACGCGGAATAGCAATAAACTCCGGAAAGTTAGCAGTTTTTTTTACTTATGCATACCGGTATCACGATTGCAAATTAGTGTCTCACGGTCCACTGTTGTATTTATCCATTCTATTCTAAAGCCAATATTCTTATTTTCAACCTTGCTTTCTTGAATAGACATTTTACTACAGATAAAAACGCTAGTGTATTGGATTTGGAATAAACCACTCATTCCAGTCCTGCTAAATATGAAAACGCATAGAACTTTTTTTAGTAATTTCTGGTGAAACATAGTCCAATTATTATTTAACACTTCATCATTTAGAAAAATGGAAATCACGTTGCTCGGGCGTAACAGATAAGTTTGTGACATCACAATGAGCAGAGGTGTTCAAATTACGCGAGAAACAAAAAACGGACATTCTGGCTAAGCGTTAAAAAATATAACGACCCAGGACCCACGCTTTGATAACATAATGTTGCAAGTGCGCGAGAATGAGATTTTACTGCGCAAATTGTCGGAATTTACTGCGCAATTGCTCAGCTTAGAGGGAACCTTGGTTATAAGACTTGCTGAAAGACCGAACAGTAAGTGTGGTTCAACAGACGTCTTCTTCCGTAGTGACGTGCAGCGTCAACACGCTCGTCAGAGGCTTCTTAGTCCGAGCCTATTGCCCGGATGGCTTCATATTTATATCGTCATGAATATCAAGTTCATATTCTATAGTCTACTCTATACTGTTTAATGAATGCCATTCGCCCGCCTGATAAATATTTGGCTCAGACTTATAGTGACTAACGGCGGCATAAACCTGACAGCAAATCTTGACAAGTCGTGGATGCCATAGCTCAATGCCGGTACTTAATGTACAAGACTCGGTTTTAACGGCGTAATATTCTTGCAACTTTCAACGCAACGAAGTTTAAGACAAGGTACGAGTAATAAAGAATAGAAAATGTACAACTAACATCAGTTTAAAGATTGACTGTTTAGTTTCAGTCTAATTTTCCAACTTACTTTATTATTATATGTTGTAATAGGAAGTTGAAACCAAACAGGATCTTTCAAATTTTCCAACTCCAAATTTGATATTTGAGCAGACAGAACCTAGCGAAAAAAACTGAGTCATTATACTTGAAAAAAACTTTGTCATGAGTTTGCTATTTACAAAAGGCTTTGTTTCATAACCTTTCTGTTGTAATTAAAGTATTTATAATTTGGAAAAGGTCAGTAAACTAAACAAACTTACTTGTTTAATTTCATATTTATCATTGCGAGGCGTAAAAAATTCAGAATCTGTGAAATACACGAATGAAACAGGTAGATTTCCAGTCGTAGTGAGACTTTCGGCTTTCATTTTCTTTGCTTTTTGCACAGCTTCAGTCGGGATAAATGAACGAACGACAGCTGGACCACTCGGTTGACACGAATTCGAAGTAACCGATGTGAAAGCAGATTCTTCAGATAAAACTTGATTGAAAGAAATGTCAGAAACTAACTGGGATGTTGAATTCTGTCGCCGCAACGCATTGGTGATCTGAATTATATATAAGATGACGCAGATAAGAAAAACCGTTTCAAATAAGTCTAAGTAAAGCACAGTGTCTATTCTGGTTTTTCGCCGAATTTGATGCGAGTTCACAAACAATTTTCTTTTCTGTCGCAATGCACTCAAATGGCCAATCTATAATTATGCGCGACTTTTGATGAAAAGAACCAGTCGGTACTACCTACCAGCGCCAGCAGCTTATGCTTTACTTACACTAAAAACATTCCGCACGTAGGGCCAGTAGTGAGCTCATTCTTTAAAACATGTTCTAACCCATTATCGTCTTGATCACTATCGACCTGTTTGCTATTTCATGAAATATCACTTACAATGTTTAATATAACAACTACTCACTGGGTATTCAATATATATATATATATATATATAGGAGTTTTTTATGAAAAGTTTTTATACCGTTAGCACATGGAAATGTTTCACTTCATATACATATAGTGATCTCGTCTAATTTCAATATTTTGTTGGGGAATGGGACAGTCCATATTATTTTTGCCAATTGCTTAAAGCACGTACATTATGTTTCATCAAAATCCAAACCTGCATTATTACTGATTGTGTTGATATTGTGAAGGTTTCTGATCTGTTAGTTATGACGTGCACGGAACACCTTTCCAATGAGTTGATTATCTCCCGACGTTGGGTGGCATTAAGTTGAGCGGTTCCGTTCATTTGTCGGTCATATTTTTGCGCTTTGTTTATATTGTCTGCCACGTTCACCATACTTGTCATCGTTTCAAGGTTTATCTGCAATATTTTTTTTTATTGTAGATTGAGAATATTAAGTAAAAGCCTATCTGTTATCAATTTATAATGGTATATATAATATTATCCAACTGCATGTTTTTTTTAATTTATTTCCAAAACCATTCATTAGAAGCAATATGATATCTCATAATATGTACAACGTAGGCTGTTGCTTGCTGAGTTACAGCGTTTGGCCACAATTGCAACCAATCATATCCGAAACTTGGATACGTGATATCTATGACGCACAACTAATACCTAAATAAACGCTTCCTGCTACGAAGCATCACATTCTCGAAATTTAGCAAACATACATTCATGTTGTAATATTAAGATTTGTAATTTTTAAGTTGTCTGCCAAATATACGAATTCATATCGCAAATAGCAATTGCGGAACACCTGGTAATATAAACCATGTATTGGGGTGTTGTGAACATATTATTCTTTGTTTTATTGTTTCGCGTCCTACTAAATACTCGGGACACTTTGCTCTCTTGGAACCTTTTCTTTGGGTGTTACCGGTTGAGTGGTGTTAAAGTATATATATACTTCAGATGAGTGGTTTTGGGCAAATCACTATGTCCATTTCCCCGCCAAAGTGAAATTTTTCTGCGGAATGCAACTTTACTGCGTTGAAAACAATTGAAGTTTTATAATTTGCTCTTATCGACAGTCGATAAGAGGGCGTGATTCACCATATGGATAGACTTCGTTTCCTTCTGGAAAAAGGCATTGTACAATTTACGACAGCATGCTCCACTCAGGTAACAACCTATCTTGGGCGTTCGCACGACACAGCAATGATATAAAAAAAATGTGCTCAATGTTTTTGCGGTGCGGGTGCATTGAACTTTTTGAACATTCGCGAGCCACAGAATTACATATAAACTTTTTCGAAATAACAAGTGTGACAAAGACTTTCCCATGAATATTACTATAGTTCAAATAAACATTTTCTGTTTACTAGTTGTCATAATAATATCGATGGGTTTGGACATCGTAATCACATCTATTGGAGTATTGGTCTGCTTCGTTGTAGTTTTATTTTTTTGTGGTTACAAAAAGGATGGATTGTTTTTTATGGTGCCTCTGTACCAAATCTGATTTTTAACAACCCAGTGCCTTTTCTCAGCGAAGACCTGAAACAATTCCAGGTAATGGATTTGTCCGTTTTCAAAGTGAGAATTCAAACGATTCCTATTTAGTTTGTAACGTAGTATTGTAGCCACCCCAACTTCTATTGCTACCCAGTTGCACCAGCCAGTTTCACTGAACCTTCCAATGATATCCCTAAAATACAATACTCATTTTACCACTCAATTAATGCACCACCATATATACAAATATAGTTTTTTAAGGGACGGCATCGCTAATAGATATGAGAGAAACTCAATTTGGAAATAAACTTAAATCACGCGGCGTTGCCGTAAAAATTTGTTGCGAAACCCGCACATTGGCAGCTCTGCTATAAAACGGATATCTAAAAACCTCCCAAAATTAGCAGCCTGATTATCTATAGCAAGTTTCGAACAAGGCTCAGTAATTTTTGTTCTGGCCTATGCAGTCCTTGCTATACTGGCATCGCATACTAGAATTAAAGTGCAAATAAACATGGATTTATGGAGCAACTGACTGATACTAGTTAAGTTCAATACATGCTTACATCGACTTTTTCTGTCCATACAAAATTAGCAACTTTTGACATGGATTCGGTAACTCTTTCAACCATTTCATTGTTAGTTTTTGTGTAATCTGACGTCAACGAATCCAAATCTCGCATCGCTATCTCCGCTGTTGAAGTGGAATTCACATTTTCAACCTGTAGAAAATACGCGCTATTTTCTGGTGGTCAAAGAGCAGAATTGCATTCGCAGACAAAATACTTCACAAACGCAAAATCTTATTACCATTTCATTCACAGATTCCAAAGATATGTAACATGGAATAACAACAACAGTTTTGTAATCGTAGAAAGCAGTTTTGCTTCCGTCGCTGTTAGTCTTTGTTTTGCATTCCGCAGTTGCGATGTTGCGTCCTTCGATAAAAATTACTAGTAAAGTTAATACAAAATACTGTCTAAGTCTAATGGTTGCAATAAACTCGCCAATACAGGAAGAATACGAAGGTATTTTAGTGAACGTAATAATAAACTAATAACATAGCAATATTAATTTTTTTTTAATTTTCAGAAGTACCGTACTCTGTTTACAATTAAAATTCATTTTCAAATCAAACCGTCTGGACAAAGTTCTTCTGAAACTCCTCTTGTTCCAGGATTCGCAGACGAAAATTTATAAAATCTATTCTTCAAACCGAGTGTCGATGGTGTACATACTGCAGGAGCTAAAATGAATAGCGTGTACAGTATTGAGTCTTATTTGATTTATGCAAATATTTCATCAAAGTTTGTTGCAAATGCTGTTCTTGATTGAGGATGCAAATAACAACCCAACATCTGATTCTAGGACGTAACGACATTTGCGAACTGATATGTATTATACGATATTTTGCGAGCAAGTGATTATGTAATTTATCAAAATACCTTTGAATGGCTTACTCCCTTGCATCCAGTATAGCTTTCCTCGTCGTCCAGCTTCATTATAAAATTCATCAATTGAAGTCGGTGAGATATCAGAATGCATAGACCAGACGTCGTAAACAACTGTGGCAGCTGTCCATGGAGGTGACATTGTTTTCACAAATATTTTTTTTATGGAGCTTGTAGAAATTTGAAATATTGCCAAAAGTTTGCCTTGTATTTTTTTTTTGGCCACTTCAAAATTATACATCGACAGAGTCGAGTTGACTCCGTTAGGAATCACTAAGTAAGGTATGTTATTGAAGTCAACATTTCTCTGCTCCATAGTGGTAACATCTGCAATGAATTTGCAAAATATAGTTTTTACATTTTTAGATGAAGTTCTTGATAAATATACAGTAATATCGTACTTTTATACTAGGTATAAAATGTTACAATTCAAAAACTCTCAAATATATTTCGTATTCGTATGCAAAATATCCCCCCCCCCCCTTGAATAAGATACTATATATATATCAAATTTGTTTCGTAAACCCACTTACAGCCACACATATGCACACCATTTCCTTGCTTTCCATCTGAGCATCCACATCTGTAAGCTCCCTGTGTGTTCTGACAAACGGTTATTGGATGGTTGCAAGGTGAATAAGGTGAAGAACATTCATCCACGTCTACACATAATTTTTCTTCAGATGGATCTTCCACGAAGCCATCCCTGCAGACGCAGTTGAGAGATGTTCTGTTGTATTGACACATATCTTTTGGTGATTTACATCTTCCTTTCGATATTTCGGGATAGCAATCTCCTGAAAATATGTAAGACAATGTGCAATTATTGTTTCCAGTTCGTATACAAATATTACTCAAAAATATTACCGTAAGCCGAAACTTTGAATTACTCATATATATATCATTAACTTTATTTCCACAGCAGTGCAGTGAGTTTTGCACTTCAGACCTCCTTACATGTGCGTGGGGTCAGTCGTCAGCAATGCAATTATGATGACTGTTTCAGACTTGATTCAATTCATAGAGCTTATACGTGAATCGGATAGGATGTATTCTGGGTTAGAATAGTATATAATTCGAGGCAAATGGTTAAGGGTAAGATTTAAGAGTCATATTCTTATCCCAATTGCCGGATCACCAATAGGGTTTTCTCTAAAATTTCGCTACTTTTCAAACATACCTGAGATTGGTTTTGCACATACAACAGAGAAAAAGTTGTGTTCGCAGCCAACTTTTGAAATTGTTCCGTTAACGTCAGAAGTGGTACAAAGTTCAAGAGTAAGTTGAGGAAATATATCAGTATATTTATCGACAATAACCCAAAATTGGTTTAGTGCTTCTTCAGATAATTGTCCCAACTGCGCAAAAATGAAATCTAACGTTTACGAGAGAGTAAAATACAGCCAGATCATTTCACAGCATAATATGCATTATATTTATGTCTTCCATTTATACCCAATCCAGTACATACATTATTTGTTTCGATAACTAATAAAAACGAGCATAACATTAGCTGGAGTTGCTGTCATTTAATCCCGACAAAAAGTTTTGCAGTAATTAGTGCTCTATTCAATATCTATAAATTTGTTCAAACTTTACCAACGGCATGATACTAATTTCTCAATTTTTAGACGAATTACAGAGTTTTTATGACTGAAACGTAACAGAGATGTGGTAGGTATAACAACATGACACAACAAAATATTTTTAGAACCAAACGCATGAATGTCTAGAGTAGTCTGTGTTTTGTGTTATAAAGGAGAAACGTCAGTAAAATGATGTGTCTTTTACAAGGTGGTATCAACTTTATATCCGTGAATACACTACCTAACCCCTAGTCCATGGTGTGTTTACATTCAAATATTATTACTATCTAATCATTTTATAGAATTGCTGTAATATCTGACTCTTACCGCTTGTGAAGCTTTATCATGCAGCATACTTAAAGCTCTTTTGACTTTTGTATCTGTAACGTTGGAGATAATTCTTCCGAAGCGTTTTTTACATTCGTTAACTGCATCGCCAAACGTCAAATTTTTCACAAGTAAGGTATACATCATTCCAGTGTTGGCATCAATTATAACAACGCTATCATCTGAAATTACTATGGTATAATCATTTTAAATTTTTAAATAAAGTAATGCAAGCTGAACTCGTAAACCTTCCTTACATTCCCATATGTCGGCGAAACTACTACATTACCAAAAACAGTATTTATTATTCTTTCTAGAAGCAAAAAAATTCTGAAATAATTGACTCAAAATCGGATAAATAGTAGTGGAACTTTTGATAATAACACTGGTCATGCAGTAGTCTGATGAGAGCCTGAGTAATTAGTTTTTTTGCAACAAATACCTCCCGAGGTATGTTATATGTCAGATATAGCTTTCAATTTTGGAATATAAGTCCGTGCTGTTTTGATATATGTCGTTGTAATTTGTGACTGTGCGCATTATTCATATGTTGACAACCTGAACAATATATAGATGTTGATTGTTCTTCTTATTCACGGAGTCATATCACCCATTTTTGAAGCCGAAAAATAATTTTTCTCAAACACGCGACTAAAACTTGAACAGAACCCCCTACTCGGGTAAATATACCGGGGCATGGGATTGCATGGGTCAATACCAGATATTCCATGCACAACAGTCTCTTCAAATATACCTCTAGTGCATCATGTATTTACTACAGGCTGTTAAAAAGTCTGCATTTTTATTAATATCACACCTGATTTACATTTATTTATCATACTTACGCTGTTTATCATTAATTTAATATTTATTTGATAACAATCCTTATTCAACAGCTATATCACTTGACACCTCGAAAGCTGCCCAACAATACTAGATGACCATGTATCACTAATAAAAAAATAAAAAATCGGACGAAATTATTTTCATGTATCGAGTTATAAACTTCGGTGTTAGGTATATCGAATAGTCAATAGATCATGCTTATATTCGAAACGTAGAATGGTGGAGTATATATACTATCTTACCCACTCTCTTCTCACACATTGTACCGCTCCATCCAGTCCTACAAACACAAGTACCACCTTCGATGCAGACACCTCCATTTTGGCAGGGATTGTTTTGATGACAAATAGATCCAGAACCTCAAATAAATGGGAAAATTCGATAATGAGTTGAGAGAATTCATGATTTTCTATTCCCGACGCTCATATTCAAGATTGCATTATAGTGTTTATGAAAGACATGGAAGGTGTTTTTCACCATCCAATCACGGTATTTGTATGATTCCTAATCAAGAAATAATGATTTCTTAATTAGCTGATTACTTTTCATGCTATGCTTAATTGCCGGTCCCGAAGCAAGTAAATTCTTTTGTTTATGTCGTATGTCCGTTCCTGACTGAAGCAGAGGAATTCTCAATTGTTTTTTGCTTGTATGGTGAGTCATCTTACGTATGTATCATAATTAATCTTACATTTATTAGAAACTAAGTTTGTATTAATCTTTCGGCAAAAAATAAAATAACATTGCAATGCCAGGTCAAACCGGGTGTTCTGGAGATTTGCGCGCATACTCACCTGAGAGCATATTTATTCTAAACGCGCTCAAATATGGCTGTCTAGAGTCGGTAATGGAAGATGGTAACACTCCAGGATTGACCAACAACAAGAGATGAACGATATTTCGTTTTGAAAATTGACCAGACGATTGTTACGTGTTAGACTAGTGTGATAACAACCCGCGTTAAGCTTACCAAGAACATAAAATGCTTTTTGTTTATAAAGTAAAATGGTTGTGGATATATGCGCATCTCACATACCTTCTCTCTTTTCGCACAGAGTACCGGTCCATCCGGCCGCACAAACACAAGTACTACCTTCGATGCAGTAACCTCCATTTTGGCAAGGACTGATTTGACAAGAAGATCCAGAACCTCAATTAAACAAGAAAATTCGATAATGAATGGATGAATTCATAAAGTTTAATTCCGGACACTTGTATTTAAAATGGTATTATAGTGTGTATGAAAAAAGAGGCATGAGAGATGAATTTCAACATCCAAACCCCCTTTATAAGCCGATACTGGCAATAGCAATAATGGTATGTGTAAAGTTTTTAGTTTTTATTTCCTTTCGTGATTCGCTTGGATATATTCAGAATTTAGATGATCATAACTCATATACAACCCGAACGGCCTATTTCACCAGATATAAGATGATTAACTTACCCTCCGTTACCAGGGCTTCGATGTTCGATATTAAAACGCTCAGAAATATGAAAACAATTCTCTTCAGCCACATTGCGATACTTTTGAAAATAGAACAATAAGCAATCTGATTTGTTTCTAAACAACAATGATCAACATTTAATCTGAAAGAAAATCGCCCAATATAATGTTTTGTATACCGCTTTGTTTTTATACCGTTTCGTATTATCTATCCGACTCGTTAGTTAAGTCGAATTGAAGAGCTCACCAAGTTCACACGTCTTCTGTGCAAAATAATCGATTTTTTACTTATTGTAGTAAATTGTCTTGTATATGTGACATTAAACCGGTTGCACTGTTCGGTCGTGGGATTGTGTTGTTATGACGGGCAAATAGATAAATTCGGTAGGCCTAATGCGAATTTATCATATAGGATAGCTATACCACAAAAATAATAACTCAATTATACACAGTACAATTTCTTTTTCAAGTTCTCAATCCACAAATGCCAGCTAATTCCTAACTTTTGTCAATCTGCAATATTATTTTTTATGATACTAACTTGAGACTCTAACTTGAACTTACGAGTAATCAAGTAAGAATTAATTTTGGGACATGACTAAACTAGCTTTACATAACAAAATTTTCATTTCTGGTATGAACACCCAGAAACTGGGCATTCGCTGAATGATCATCCTTATGAACCGTTTAAAATTACTATCTCATAGAACCTTAATGAACCAGGCTAATATAACGAAAGGAAATGTCCACACGGTGATGATGATCACGTCGCTTTGGAGTATGGGATAACTTGTCGTGTAATGATAGTGCATGTGCGTCATCATTTTGAAAGGTTGGTTGCGAATGACATTCACACGAAACTGGTATTCTCAGTTGTTTTGCCTCGGCGAAAAATAAGTTATGTCGCTTCGTTGATAATTCAGAATAAGATCTTTGGGCGTAGTGTCTCAACACCTGGTTTATCGTGCCCAGTGCTAGAAATATGTTCGCCACCGTATGACTTAAAAAACCGCGTTCTATGACATTCAAGCACCGACCACGACTTCCTCCACTATCACCATAAACTACTTTATTCAATTATGACTCGCTAACCAGTGGAAATACCGTGGTTCGCTAAATGATTAAACCTCTTATCTTCTTTTGCTTTCCCCGGGATGACTACTGATGAATCATATCCTCCTATTCGTTTCTTATATACTCGCCAACTGAGATATTTTATTAAAATCGTATGTCGCTATATTCTTATTGATTTTGATATAAATAAAACTTTACACAAATGTGAACACAAAGAAAAACAACTGCTTACTTTGAAAGTCTTCACATCGCCGATGATTACAATGCTAATTCAGTTTATTAACAGGCATTATATATAGACATAAAATTGTGATAACAGTAATCTCAGAAACTGAAATGACAAGCTGTGGCGACATCACAATACAACAATATATTAGTAAGACCCACTTGACGAATAGCAATAATAACCAAATTATTTTTTATTTGCATGGCAAATCAACAGCCAAGAAAGCCAAATCTGTGCGTATGTATTGACTCATAGGTTTTCATGCCATTTATCACTCTCAATAAATTATTTTTAGAAGTAATGTTATGGTACAGAATAATTTAATTTCTAAGATATCTTCGAATAAATCAAGTTTGTACTAACTAGTTATGACTCTAAGATGCAATACCGTAATTGTTTATGAGATGTTCCGGCAATATATTGCTAAGTATCTTGATATCAACATGAAACATTGAGGACGAGCTATGCACCCATAAAGCGTATTTTTTTTCAACTAATTACAATATTAGTAATAATGATGTTTCTGTTTTGGCAACGTATGATTAAAATAAAAAAGTTGACGTTATTGCAATAAGTTATTTTTTCATAATACGAACAAATTATGTTATATTCTATTCATGGCATAACATTTCTTGTATCAGTCATTTCAGTTCTTCTGCAAAATACATGTTTCTCCGCACACACTTTTAAAAACAACTCGATTTAGTTCGGGCAGTTTCTCAAAGCTTGGTGCTCGGTAAACGTTGTTTGGAAGTGAAGCGATTGAATGCATGTCGTCATCACTAAGTTTGTCTCCGATACCGATCACCATGACTTTGGAGATTGATTTCAACTCTCGAGCTGCGTCAGTATACGGATCATCAGCTTCGTCTGTGAATACAATATTTTAAAATCACATTATAAGCTTGCGCAATTGCGAATTTAAACTACACTACTCTGCAATTCAATTGGATAATAGTTGTTGGTAATGTTGAACTTCAGTGTAATTGTTTGTTTTTATATCGTGAATCGCTTTTTTGATACATCATAAGATATAAGGCTTTAGATACAAGCTACAGCATACAGTAGTAGCCTTTACACAAAATCTGTTTGTTTTTGTTGACCTCATCCACGATGGGCCACGATGAATAAACCTAGATGGGTAAGAGAGAGTACAACAACTAACCTTCCAGTATAGCAACAACTAGATTTTCGACATCCTCTCTGTTTCCTTTCTGTTCTGTGAAAGCATTGTTTGCGACCCAAGACAGGGCTGCTCCGGTTTTGCTCCCAGATCCTAAATTTTGCAACATTTTTAATGTTGAAAAGGTAAAATAAGATCTGATAATATGATTAATAAGGATTTGCCGGTAATTTTTATTTATGACAAATCGATTACACTTGTTGTTGGATTATTAAGCAATGTATTTGATAAATGCCTAACTGAATGAAGTGCGTATTTTAAGTCAATTATATGGATATATTCTATCGACCCATTTAATCGACAAACGTTCTGAAGGGTTCCATTACATTTGAACCCACGTACATTTGAACCCATGACAATTGCACCTGTATGCTTTTGCACCTATGGAATTTTTTTTGTTTCACGGATAGTTAAACCCATACTAACCCTAACCCATGGGTTTTAGCACCCGCATATAGATTGAACCCGTGGATATACGCATGGGTTCAAATGTACATGGGTTCAAATGTACGGTCACCGTTCTGAAGTGCTATATTGCAGTGATAATTTCTATTTAATTTGATATGTAGCTTTAAGAAAAATTCCCAAGTTATTCAAATATGACAATTTTGATAAACAAACATTTATTCGTCCACACCCTCTTTTCAGTCCGATATTGTAGAAATACGTAGTTAAACTTTAATGTTTATTACTTGGAATATAATAAACTTCGTCACAATAGCCGCAATTTATTTATCTTTGTCACTCATCATATACACCCCGCTTACCTTCGATAGGTATTTCGTCTATTGCTCGATTGAGACTCTCGTGTGAATTGTGATCTGATAAATACCAAACACCAACATCGTGGAATACAACTCTGTTGAAGAGTGTTATACCAACTCGAACCCCCTCCTATTTTTGTAGAAAAGAGAAAGAGTTAAAGCAAATGAATAAAAAAACAGAAATTTTAAACATGCTGTCCCACGATTCCTTTAGTACAGATTGTTTAGTATTGCAGATTGTGATACGCCATGTTACAAAAAATACTTCTTAAGAATGGAATCTTATAGGTACAACATATATCCATACCTGTGAAACTGGTAAGTATGAGAGCGAGTCCTTCAAGAACTGAAGTAAATAACTGAAATTTTTCATTCCGTATAATTGAGAAACTTCAACGAGGAACCAAACGTCAAGTCGAAATGTTGACGGACATCCCTCGCCTGCATGAAAAGTAAGTCCTCTCTTAGATTGATTACAAAAATGATGCAAAATCTGTAATTCTTTGTGACTATTTATAGTTTCTGCTGAATAGGAAACATATCTGTAGGACTGTTATTAGTAACTTACAGCATGTTGGAAGTGTGTTCCATACTCCATTTTCTAAACATTCTACTTGGTCGATTCCGTCTTTTGGCTGCATTCCTTTGGGACAGACCATTGTACATGAATATGGTGTATCGTTACTCGTGTATTGGCATTCTGCCGTCATCGGTTTTTTCGCTTTCAATTCAAGATCGACGAGACGACAGAAAGGTTGTCGGTTCTGAGGATAACAGTAATCTCGATTTTCTTTCGAGAATTCAAGAACTCTAAAAATGAACCGATTTCAATTTTCGTAATATGTTATCTTGAAATTTCTCTCGGAATTTCTTAATCTACCAATTTTGCTGGACTGTAAATTTTCCAATCCAATTTTCACGAATCACAGCTATACAGTACAATATTTGTCGATTGACCAAACTAGTCATATCACATTCTTCCGCGGCTTTTCGCGCATCGCGACTTTTGTGTCAAGAGCTTGGATAACAATAAAAACAGTTAAAGGTTAAGGCTTAACGCTACTGTGACGTGATCCATGTCATAGTTCTACCGGCATATGCATCAACACCACTGTGTGGTATTAAAATTCTCATGTTTTTAACAATGATAACTTTAGCAAACTTTGCGAACCTTGCTTTGGACAGACAGCAAAAATGGGATGTTGTGTTGTAGACCTCATCAATACAACAATACGATCCGACACGATAAATCTTTCCTTCTTTATCACCAGGAGGACAGCAACCTATCGGTCGTGTCGGTGACAAAGATGAGAGTGAAATTCGAACTCGAGGTACTTTCCGTTCTTCATCTCTCAGAACCAGCTCATTATCTTTATCCAACTCCTCCAGTCCAGCAATTAGCTTCTGCGGTGGTGAAATTTCAGATTTTTCTTTTCGTTTTTTGCAAACAAGATACCCTGGAGTATTAAAAAGGTTGGTTAACTTCGCGTGATAATAAATGTAATAACATTCAGAAATTTTTATCGAAGTTGAGTTCTTTAGCAGTGGTGTTATAAATACAAGTAAAATGGAAACAGAGTGAAAATACAGATTGCAAGGTGATCGAAATTATTCATATGTTATACAATATTCATGTTGTTTCAAGGTAATCCATCAAATACTCACCTGGCAACAATTCCTCAAAATCTGAACAAAAGAAAATGAAAAAATCGTTATATTTTGCTTACATTTTTCCATCTTCATGTAATCGACAAATAAAATTTGCTTTATTAATAAAATTCCCGTGAATATAAACACCAACTTACATTTTTATTGTATTGTGATATTACCAATTTAATTTGTTAGTGTAATTTAAATTATTACTGGGCTACCTCTTTCAAGTATTTGCTGGCACATCGAATAGCTTGATATTTACAGTATATACAATTACCGGAGATCGCTTTTGATAAATAGGCTCTTTGTGGTTTGAGATTATCACATATACACATTTGGAAGTAAGAATACATCATATATTTTCGCCTCAGGACGAATTTTCATAAACCTACATGCATCTGAGTTTTCATGACGTAAATCATAACATACAGGTCGATTAGCAGGTGGTAATTGTTTTAAGGCTAAATGTTTGAAACAAATTATGTAAACGACAGTAACAGTGCATTTTGTTGATTTATCTTTATATCAAAGTAAAACCGTCAACATTTTGACTCAGATTTATATAATTTATTTAAATACCAAACACCCGAGAGTTTGTGAAATCTACAAAATTATTTAGAGCTTTTAGATAAAAGGAAAGTACGAGTTACATACCATTGGGTTCTTTCTCGTTGACGGTGAACGTCAAGGATTGTCCTGAAAAGAATTTTCACGCTGTATTAACAGTACAGCGCTTGTGTTTACACTGATAATGTGCCGCGAAAAATATGAAACTTAGGGTAAGGGATTGTCAGTGGCGAAATATTGACAAACCAAAGCACTAATAATAAATCACTTGCACACGAAATGCTTCCAAAGGCATTTGTTTTAAATTTTAATCAATTTTCGCGACACTTCAATTGCTGAGTATGCAGTGGAATCTTTATTTGTGTTGTCAATAATCTAGTTTTTGGATTTCACAGCATAATTAGTATAAAAAAAAAATACAAATTGTCTCGTGTTCATCCACATTTCCACAAAAGTTCTGGCTGCAATTATGAAATATTAAATATAGTAATATTCGTGATGAATGTAATTAGCCCAATTTTACCCAAGATACGTGATTTTTGATGGTATTAGTTTCTGGTGTATGAATTGCTTCCTATCTAAATCGCACGCCTCCTGAATAACCCGGTATGAACAAATTCGTGTTGTATTTTTTTCATTAGAGACCACTTGATTTTAAATCAGTTTAATATCTTAATTTATCATCTTTAATAATTTTTTATCCTAAACGTTTTTTTTTATGGTTGTCATAAAATACGCGTCAACATTTGTGAAATTGATCGATAGTCGAAAATATATGCAGTTATTTCATATCGCATTTTTCTAAAGGTGCTTTGGTAGTTCAAATTTGTTTCCAAAATCCTTCTAATGAGATTAAATAAAATGTCATATTAATTTGCAAAACCATGCTTATATGCGAAAGTTCCGGTGTTTTATGATATTTTTTGTCGCTTCTTAGACACACCCAAATTATGACGCCTGTTATATTTTGTATTCCTTGTTCCTGAATTGTTCCGTGCGGAACATCATGCTGCGTATTTTATACACGATAACAAAGTTTGTGTCTTACCTTCGCTAATCTCTTCCTCGTTAATGGTCAAGGTCAAAGTTTCATCTGAAAACATATGCATTGGCTGTTTTCTATTGATCCATTTCGTTGTCTATACTATACGTACAGCCAACGGAACAATACGAAATAACCATTTTCAACAGCCCAACAAAACGGAAACGTATAATCCGACTTGCAACTGACAGGAGCCAAATGGACGTTTTTGTTTTATTGCCGTCCAGTAACAAAGTCACGTGACCCGTGCAAGTCCTCTATATGAAAACTTAAGATTTCAAAAATTGGTGTATATATATATAGCTTAAAACCATTTTAGACCTCAAAATGGACAAATTGCTGCAAGTAGGAGAAACCTAATAAATGTTATGTTATCCGTAGTTTTAAATGCGTTATATCCAGACCAGCAAGTAAATATAAATTAATTTCCACCAAACGAAGAAAACCACTAATACCAGTTTACGAACAAGCAACATATCAATTAATGGTCAAACACGTGCGATGTGTAATTTAATTACTGGTTTAACTAAACGAATTATTTCCGATTGAGGTTTATGAATTACAATAAAAGTTTTGTATTTCAAAACGTGTAATTGTCAAGAAAATAGTACAGGTGTGGTTGAGAACAAGGAATCAAAGTGTTCGCTGTAATAAGATCTATTTTTATTAATTCCAAAAGTACCAAAGATGGTACAGATTATCGTTTTCACAAAAAATTATTTTGATTCTCTTTAAACATGTACATCAATTTAATTCGTCAGCTTTCAATTGTTATCTTATGATCCGACATCGCTCACTTGATTTGCAAAATATCTCTTTCTCTTTTTGAAAATTAAATGATAAAAAATATTAATTCAATAGTATGGACATGGATTAGTGTATATCTACAAAAAGTCAAGTAGCTACCAAGTCCAGGGTTTATTTTGCAGAGGCTATAGCATATTTACAAAAATTTCCGATATGCCACAAAACTTCAGTTTGAAATTTTCCTGGCCTGGTAGCAAACTTTCATTTTGGGTTCATTATGTACTGACGTATCATATTTATCTGATATAATTAAAATTTTGGTAACGACTTCCCTATCTCGACGATGTATTTATAATATAAGTATATAAGTAATTGTGATGAATGTTACATGGCCACGTAAATGCTCTCGACATCTTCTTGTTATTTCACACGTCATTTGTCTATAAGTGGAATATAAATTATTGGGGCTATAGTCGCATTCGATATATGAATCATACGCCAATATCAACACGTTATTGACTTGGCGTTTTGATAAAATAATACACACACATGCCTTAGGCATTCATTCAGAATATCACACAATTTTTTTATAGTTGCATGTTGCGTTTCACATTAAAAACGAAAATTTTCACTCAAGATTGCTATTTATTAAATTCCATTGTTCCAAACTATCACGGACCGCAATGAGACGCTAAGGTTGTATTAGCCTACTAAGGGATACTAATTTATTGATTACATATGAATGAAAAGTTGAATAACAACAATAAAATACTTGATTTGGGATTGAAGTGTAGATGTTTTGCATGTAATAGGATTAAGAAGACGCCTCGTTCCTCCTATAGTGCATTCTTAACTCTATAAGGCTTGTTGGGATTTGGTGCTAAGTGAGCTCGCTATATTTCTCGATAGGAAGCAATTTAAAAAAAGGATATAAAGTCAAACCTGGTTCAGCGGGAACGTTTCCAATTCTGGCATTGATTCGGTGGTCTGAAAAAAAATGTAAAATAGTAAAACACTGAGGCTGCATTGATACTAATATTCACTGTCTATATTTCAAGATTAGTAACGTCTTGAGTCCATGTGGAATTCGGAACAGAAACAGATTTTTGGCCTAGTTTTTTAAAAGTATTTTGTCTCGTTTTAATATGTTAGATGAAATTTGGGTTTTAAAATATTAATTCTGCGTAAATCCTAGGGCTATATAACAATATATTATCGAATTATATACTATAAATACTAATACACAAACTTGGTGACAAATAATTGACTTGTTTGTTTGACGTGTGTTTAGTCATTTGAGTCTGTGTGCGGTTTGTAATCGGCATATATGCAATTGTTCACCATAAGACTATATCTTATATGGAAATATTCATATAACTCAACATATTATTCACACAATCAACATAACACTGTATCCCAATATTATATTTTTACCGTACAGTCTCCCATTTTTTTGGAAACGTATTTCGCCAACCTCATTAACAAAGTAAATAGAAAATTTTTGGAATTATCTATTTTAAAATTTGAGTCCTGAAAAACGTGTTTTGTGAATCTGCAATTGAACTTGAAACTATAGTACCTTGATTTAAACTAGACATCAAAAGCCAGAACAACAAAAATCGGGAGAATGCACAAATATATGGAAACATATTTTTACTAACTTGTCATTCAAGAAAATGTCAATTCGTAGAGTTCGTCAATTTAATATTTTCGACACGCTAGCGAATCATCAACCGCGATTTAATCATACGATATATCGTGGTATAGGTTGTGTTTATGGTCATCTTATCAAAAGTTGGCATGTTGTTATTCTTATTCTAATTTTTATACAGATATTTTTGGTTACCGCCTTCGGGCTACCATTTTGTGGAGTTTGCATTAACAACATCATCAAACAGTGCCAACTAATGCCACCATTGGGATCTGATCATATATAAGACTACATTCTTAAGAAAGCGCTAGAAATCTTTTGCGTTGTCAAATTTATGAGAAAATCTTCAAGGTTTTGAATTCAACAATGCGTGAAATCATGATGAAAAAGGCTTTCATTTTTATTCTAACACTTCCTTATTAAACTATAATATGACTTGGAGGCGAAAAGTATGTTGCTATACAAAACAATTATCACTTTTCATTTCTCCATTATTTTTACTTTTAATATTTCATTGCAAATGTTCACTTTGTGGGATTAAGTGTTATTGCCCTATGTTGAAAAAAATGTTAAATGTGCAAATTTTTATCCTGAAAGTGCATTTTACCATTTAAAATTGATTCTCACTCATGTGAGAGCTTATAAAACCAAGACAAAATTATCGCCGAAAATGGGTATAGTAGATTTTAAGAATTTTCCCGGATATGCTAAGGATTGAAGCCATCATCCTGAAAACACGATCGAAACCGTTGATTTGGATTATCCAAATGCTGTAGGACAAGCTTGAAAATCAATACTGTTCTACTTTTATTACGATAGTTAAGAGCATCGGGTTTAAAACTAGTTGGTTTGTACATACTAGATCAAGACTGAACAACTTATGCTTGGTACATGATTTGACGTTGCTGAGGAGTTTACATTACAATCTGTAATATTTTGAAACCCGATAGGATAATCTGAAACACTTGACAGAAGCAGCGTAAATACATTGGCAAAAAATGCGATTAACCTCCATTAGATACCATAATTTGAGATATTATTTTATAACGGTCATTTTTGGTTGTGAAATATATTGTAAAACGACATTTTTGGATTTCGTGCATGTTCATTAATTATTATGATTACTAACTCTATTTCACACGTGCAGAGACATTCAGCGGAATGAAGAAATTGAGAAGACAACAAATGAAAATTGACAAGTGAACTTCACATACAATCAAAGACTCCAAGTTATGAGTACTTTGCCAATAGATTCAAATAGCAACAATGCAAAACATAAGAAAAGCAAAAATACCAAAGAAAAAAATCACTATTTCTTTTCATCGAACTGTTATCCTAAGATTTCATGGCGAAGAAATTTTATTGCTTTCTCGTGAAAATTCAACTCATAAGTAGTGGAAAATTGTTGAGATTGATGTGAACTTTGGAAGAAATCGACTCGTGTTATTCAATTAGCTTTATAATAAACTTGCAGATTGCGTGTGTTCAAATGAACATTATTATATCCCGATCGAAAAAACCTAAAAATCGAATTGTGAGTATTATTTTTAATCAGCCAAAATCAAATCAATTATAAAGTCATCAAATTGAATTATTGCAGTAATTACAACAATATTTAGGAAAAACAATCTCAAATGAATTTTCAACACAATGTCGTGAATATAAAAATAAGTTTGGAATAATCAGTAAAATTTCTTTTCAATTTATTCTTTACAAAATATTGGTTCTTGATATTCTGGAGTAGGACGTCACCTTCAATGTTACATCGAATTTTTTTTTACATCGTTATTGATTGTTCACACGAATATTGCAAACTGTAACGCATGAGAAGTTAAAATCAACAGATAAATTAAATGAACCCTGTAAGTTACCCAGTCGTTACTATTTTAATGATCGTAAATTTTATTTCCGCAGTCTTCCGTGGCAATTACATGGCTATTGAGTTTAAAAATTATGTTTTGATTGTTAAACCGTGTTCGATTACACCGAATTAACCTTTGGTCAAATGTAAATAAAGAGTTACACCTCGTGTCACGTACAAAGATCATTTGAATTTTTTTTTATAGAGCCTGGACAATAGACGGATCGCACACGGGCGGTGTTATCGATCTATATCTCGTACTCGAACAAGGCAAATTATCTATAGATACTGAAAAGTATTTATGTTACACAAGTAAAGTATATCACAAGACTTCCATAATAGAAGCAGATTTTATGCTATAAAATAATATTTTCTTTTATAATTTTATTTACTAACAAACAGAGAACGTAGTTTTATCGGTCACGCCCTTCACCAATCGCTTTTGCGACATTTTATAGTTGATTGTGAGTTAATAGTTTTCAATTTTTAAAAAGTATGCATGATTGTGAGTACATGAATTTGTTAAACAATATATAAAATAAAATATAGTCACCTGTTTGACGTTTCTTGATGTCGTGTACCTGTGTTCGTTCTCTAACATCACCTGAATATTTCCAATAAGCAACACACACCAACGATATCAACGGAATTCCAACAACCAATAATTTGACAGTCCGTCGAATCATATTTATAGTATTTACAATAATATGCTATGCGAAAAGATTTATTTATTATTCATTTGTTTTTGTTTTTTGGAGAGAAACATTATTTCACTATAATTTAAAAGCCGAATGTATTCATTCATGAGATACATATACCTCTTCCGCTCAACTGTGGCGTCTACTCCTGTATCAACTTGAACAACTTTTTTGTTGTTAAAAAAATGTAATTCAATTAAAAAGAAAATTTCATCTGTTGTCAATCGCATATATCTTCTAACGTCACTATCGTTTTGAGTTGAAGAAGAATTTATAGCAAATAAATCATGACTGACGGATTGAACTATAAGCGTCTGGAAATCCGCCCACCAATATCGACATTTTTCTTCAGTTCATCACCGCGGGGCAAAGTGCAACCTTTCAAGCAAAATCGGTGTAAAATCGCGATTTGATCTAAATTTTGATATACAGCAGCGTGTTACTCTGTCGTTTCAGCCGGGATCGTTAAATGTAATTGTATAGAACAGTGTAAATCATCGGTATTATTCCTGAAAGCGTAAAATTCACCCTCACTGCCCAAACTACTTTCAAGCTAATTAATTATGGCCAAACAAAAACCCAATGGTTAATTGAAAGTTTGTTTGATAATTTTATATTTACAAAGATTTGTCAATTCCAGGTAAATGAAACTGAGACTACGCCAATCAATACTACTATTTTGTAGCCTTCCTTTCGTAGGTGTTTTTATCATCAAATATACCCCAAAAGAAAAGAAAAACGATGAAACTTGTTTGGCGTTTTATTATGAAGTTTCTAGACATCATTCATGTTTAGAACAGTGGTTCTCAACCAGGGGTCGGTGGCAGTTCAAGGGGGGGGGGGGGGGGGCACGACACACGGTTAATAATTGATCATAAAGCGACTTCGTTTGCATACTTGCCTTTTAAAATAAAATTCCCTGTCCAGGCGTTTACCGCAGTTTCATTATCTGGATAGGTTCTTTGCGATTACAGGGCGTATTCTGTGCGTGAATTGTTTGATCATAATTAGGCTTACCATACGTCCCGCTTTAGGCGGGACAGTCCCGCTTTTCAGCGTTTTGTCCCGCCGTCCCGATAAGTCAGCCAAAAGTCCCGCTTTTCCAGCATGATACACAAACATGTTCTCGTTACTGTTGTTTCTGTGTAGCGCAGCGCTAGCCTACTTACTGAAGGTGAATGCGTTCGTTTTCCGCTGATTCCCATTGATGGCAGACGTATCGCATGTAAAACCAATACTAATTAGTCTAAATTCGAATTATTTGTACCGGTATTGTTAACGTCAATTCCTTCCTATTTTTCGAACTGAACCCGATATTTGGACAGAGAATATGCGCATAAAATTTCGATAACAATATGGTCAATAAAGACAGCCGGGACCGCTTTAAATGTAGGAATGTAGGCCTATATAGCAAAATCGGAAAATGTGAGGTTACAGAATCGTTGTCTTTTGAGGCGTCCCGATTTGAAGTCACAAAAATATGGTAACCCTAATCATAATGGATTTCAAAATATACCAATCAAAATAGTTCTCTGTAGGCCGTCTAACCTGCGGACAGGCGGATTCACTAGACTGAGAGATAACCTTCACTATCGCATTATAGACGCACAAACCCAAATATAAATTCCTAATGCCCAAAATACGAAAATGGAACGACAGTTACGTTGGCTTTACCAAAGTAAATTGAGATGAGAGGGAATGTGCGCAATGTCTGCATTGTAATGAGCAATGGATCATTACATCTATCTAAACTCCCAAAACCATGGTGACAAAAATCACCAGGTGAAAGACGTTGACATCGGTTTCTTGGCTGCCAAGCGAGTCAGATTTGACAAGAAAGCAACACTGGCCAAGATCGGGTATCTGTCCAAGGAAACAAAATCTAGAAACCGCCTTGATGTTGACAGTGACATTTGTCAGGATTTATCAAAGACGGTGTTCAATAAAAGAAACCGCGCCAGACAGTCCCAAGCGCAAGATTCCCATTGATTGTATACTAAAAATTTGGACTGGTGGTTTGTTTTTGCATTCCATAAAAGGTCGTAAAACATAATACAATCCAGCACGTCTAGTATTTCGGAATGGCGAACATGGGGGGCCACGAGAGCAAAAAGCCGCCGGAGAATGAATAATTCAGTGCACGCATCCGATTTTTTTAGATACCCTTCTGTCATATTATATCTTTATTTCGAATAATCTATAAAATCATATTCCGACAAATAACATTTTCTTAACGTGATTCTCTATTTCCTCCCATTTCTATGTTTCTTCTATGTTTCCAGGTATTTGACTCGAAAATCTAACTAACTATCATTCTAGAGCAGGGGTTCGTAACTTGGGTAAATGTACTCATTGACCTGCATCCTAGGTAAACTTTGCAAGCAAGAAAGTCAATTGCCAAATGAGGCTGTTGGCCACGTGGCCAAGAGTATTGCAAAAACTTTGCGCAACTGATGTTCATTATGCTCCTGCTAAGGACAGACTCTAGTCTAGGGTCTAGCTAGGCCAATACCCTTTTGCACAGTTTACTAACAACTCACTAGAATAGACAATCTACACCAGTGATTCCCAATCTTATTCGATATATTCCTCCCTTTGTCTATTTTGAATGTCTTTATTCCTCCCTAATATGAATAAAAAATCGTTTCGTTATTTGTAATATCTTAGTGGGCTCGAATCTAGTGTTACGTGCAACTAGCACTCCGGCTTTGTATAGTTTAAATCTGTGAGAAAGGATAAATCTGTTAAGCACTCTGAACCACCAAGTTCATCAATACCGAAATTTGCATTTTTTTGTTTCCAGAAGTCCAGAAGATAGAATGACCACACTGTCCGAAATCAAATTCTGATGAAAAAAAAGCTATTTTTCTAAACTATGAGGCATTTATTTGATCCACGTGACGCTAATCGATAATACGAACGCCGGAAACCGTTTGCGAATACATCGCATCAACGGAAGATTTAAGTGAACTTTGTTACACAAAATCACAAACTGTGCGATACAGGCAGGATGTGGATAGAAAGTGGTTTGATCATCTAAATTGGGAATGGTAAGAAACCGTCTTTCCCTGGTAAAACTTCAATACCTGTTGGCGCAACCTATATATGCCCGCGAGTACGATCTTTTCCGATTTTGCAAGGTTCTGGTTGAAAATCCTTTAACGCAAAAATCATAATTTCGTAGATCAGACCATGGGCCGAAAAACGTACGGCGTTGGTTGGTGTGACTCTTTAGGGGAAATGTCAACTTTGTATTATTCGAAATAATTACTCTTTACGAAAATCTAAAGTTGCAACCTTAAAATTGGAACAATAATGCGCAGAAGGCGCCGAAACTTGCCTTCCCGGGCCATTTTGATCAGATAGACGTCGGCCGACGTCTTGGTTGGTTTGCTAATAAAAAAGTGAAAAAGACGTATTTTTTAATGCTTTTCACGTGTTTTATTACCTTGTGACATTACATTGTGACGTGTTCCCGGCCTCCATTCGAGAGTTGAGTATATATATTGTGTTTTTCATGTTTTTTGTTGCTTACTGATTTGGATTTCAACTGTATAGCTGGTATTGAGGTATAAGTGTGTGTTTCAATATAGCTGTTTGAATTCAATTCGATCGCGCAACTTTACAATGTACGAACATTTGGCATTACCAGGCTTGTTCATGGGAATCCTATGGGAAACGTCCATGGAATGGGGTGGGACAGCACATAATTGTATTTCCCATGAGACACGAAATACCGTGTGATTTTCGGGGCATTGATGGTAAAACATTTCGTTATGAATTTCGTGTCCATATATTTGAGCATAGCTCTCTTGTTAGTTATAAAGAGCAAAATATATTCAGCATTACCAATGTACTTCGTGAAGGGGCTTATGAACACAGATATACTAGTTCTGAATTTTTAACGATAACAAAGTCAATAAATTTTGTCGTTTTGCATGTATCTTTGTACATTTAGTCCTATTTAGTAGACGCTAAATACAACATTTTTTATTGAATAGTATTTCAACCGGAATCCCATGTGATGGGATGGGACAGGAAAATATGCCCCATGGATAAGCCTGGGCATTACAATATATTGTGGGCTCATTGACCTATGTAGGAGTCAATTGGGGTTTTACTCCGGTTTCGGATTTTTAATTCATAATCTCTAATTGTGTTTTCAACTGTCATGTTGTATTTCAGAAAAAGTAACACTATATGTAATATGTGGAACATAGAGTGGATTCTCAAGAGTACATAATTTGGTGTGTTTCGGTAAATGTAAGGTCTTTGTGATCGTGTCCATACGGATCATCTGCATGCAGGTGAGACATGAGCCACGGATACACAGCTGCTAGATTTATTGAAAAGTATTCTTTGGTTATTGTTTAATAAGTCGATGTTCAATTATCGCTTGACAACTGTTGCGTTTGTCTGATTATAAATGTACAAATCTGCAAGAAATTATGTTTGCTACGGAGCAAGATTTAGTAATATTCGTGCGATAGGGAGAATTTGCGCACGCATAGATAGCTCGTTAGAATGCCTATGCCGAAATAATCAAATTGGAAAAGAAATACGTCGTGTTTGTTAACATTTTTTCCGGTAATTGCCAGCAGAAGAGAGTATCCATTCTTATAATACTCAGGATCCACGCCTCGCCTCCAATTGTAGATAAAAACTATCCAGATATATTGTATTCGTTCAAATTAATGCATTCGAAAAAGTACTCGACCACCCCTATAGCAACTGTTATTCCGTATTCGTTAACTTTTTGTCATTTCATATAAAAGTTTTGGGCGCAGTGAAATATAATAATGATAAACAATCCATTAATTAAATATAACTTAACTTAATTAATATAGAAAAAATTGCTTTTCTTTGTACTCATTTTGTGTTCTTTTTATTCAACAAGTATTTTTGGATGTTTAATTTTTTCCCGGACCTTTGAGATTGCCATATAATTATTTTTGTTAGTTCCACGGCCAAAATAAAACTTGGTTTGAGATATTATCTTCTGTGCGTATGGACAAGAGAAAAAGGTTTTATGTCTCTAAAATTATTACATTAATTCACTAACACTACCCCAGCACCGATATTATTAATTAAAAAAACGCGATAAACTAATATAAGATATATTACACAGTAAATAAAAATAATATTAAAAATTATTACACCCCCAAATTAATAATTTTGTAACGGTTGCCATTGCCAAATTGATCGATTTTCTAAACAGGAGTGAACGGTAATAAATGCATTTATTGAAAATCCAAGCTTGTTATAGTTGATGGAGTCAAATGCCAAATTGCCCAACCAAAGTTGTCAGAGTTGGGTGCATGAAGAAGAGGACTAGACCGCTAGACAACTTCATTTTCCAAATTAGAGCCAAATTATAATCCAGATTGTAATAAGTACTTAAAGTTACCGGTAACAGAGTATGTTAATTAATTATTATAGTTAATTAATGTAGGACAATATAGTATGAGAATATGTTGGTTACCAAGGCTGTGGATAGAAGTTTTGTCCATTTATAGAATTCGACTTCAAAAAAGGATATAGGAATTAAAATCGTTATTTCTCAGGATCACTTCGAAATTAACATGGAAGATGCATCAGAGTCTTTGTTTGATTTTATTCTTATGTGTTTTCTTCATTTGATCTTTGTGAAGCAACATGAAAAAAAAATCTGCGAGTAGCTGTTTCAATGATTGCATAAAGGGTGATATGCCGAACTATTAATTATAGACACAGAAATTGTTTAATTGCTTTGAGGAAATATAGTCCTTTTATAGTGATGGTTGGATGATCTAGGAGGAAATTCTGTTTGGGACACAGACGAAATTATCACACCATGCAAAAACACCCAAATTTGATTATATCACACTATTTAAATATTGGCTATCAAGTCAACTCTATACCAATACCTTACCTAAAATGCATCCTTCCATAGAGATATAAAATCACATCAAATTAAAATGACTCACAGCAAATTAATAAAAGTTGAAGGGGAGAATCCAATATAGCTCGACTAGTTTCAAATTCAATAATTAGTAATCTTGCAGGAACTATAATACCACCACTTGAACAGAAAACCAAAACCATGTACATGCATGTGAGGAAAGACCCCATATCAAAAAAGGGTTAGAAACATGCGCATGAAAAGGTTAAAATGTGAACAGATATTTAAAGAAAATATCATCCAGGTATGTTAGCTACCGTGTGATAAAAGAAAAATAGCCATGCATATCCCGATACGAGTGTTTTTGCACCAGACATGATTAAAACAAAAGTAATAAAAATTTAAAAGATGCAGACAATAGCTCAACTGCACGCCTAATCACAGTAACTAGAAGTTTCAGAAACAATAACAATATTATTATAGCTGTCCGACATTCACATGAAAACAACAAAGTGCGAGTGAGTAGTCTCCCAACTTTTTGTCATCGACCATCGACTAAAAAGTTTATTTGCCTTGAAGTTTGATATTTATTTGTTTCAATAATCAATACATTATGGTTAATTTCGTACAAAATTTTTTGGACTTCAACGTCTTCAAAAGTTTGGGTCCAGTTAAAAACAGGGAATGCTGACTCACAGATTTACTCATGAAAGCTATGAACAAATCAGAATTACTTCTTCGGTTGGAGGTATTTTTTATTTAAAAGTATGACGTCAAAGCAGTTTGATAGCACATTATTAGGAAAGTCGTAAGTAAGCTGATGATAATACTTCAAATTTCATCATATCTACAACCTTAAGTATATTTAGCAGTGATGGCCCACAGTACACTTTCACATCTTCTTTCACCAAAAACAATTCTTAAAAAAATTATTACAATTACTGAAGTACTCTGCAAGTTGAGATGGGTGTTTTGTTTCCATGGAGCCAGACTGAGATACAGTATCGGATATGGCTGAGTAACAACGATTGAAACATTGATAGAAGTGAGGCTAGAAAGAATGTAGGCTAGAAAGAATAATGGGCAAGTGAAGATCCTTTAGGAACTCCGAGCTTCATGACGCAAATATTATTAGAGAATGAATTGTCATATTACACAACTTGTTCTCTGTCATGCAGGTAGCTACTAATACAATTGAATGGGATCCCTCTGATTCCATAATTATACAGATTACTTGAAAGAAGAGGTAAAGGATGTCAAACTTTTTTGAAATATCAAGAAATATTCCAATAGCGTGTTTCTTGCCTCCAAATGCCTTGGTTAGCTTATGTTCCAAAACATTAGCAGCCGTAACAGTGGAGTATTGCTTGCAAAAATAATACTGATGCGAGTAGGAAATAATATTGCTCTCAAATAGTTTGACATCCTGCTATACATTATTTTTTTTAAAACATTTGAAAAATGATGATAGAAGATCGATTCTAAAACATGACTTGAGCTTCATTTCGCGTACGATGTTTTTATTTCTAATGATGTAGTTGGCCTCAAAACATGGATGATAATTCTTTTTCCCTGCCATATGAAAGCTGGCTTTTGTCACAGCTAGCTGGTTGTGGCATATTGTCAAGCAAGCTTTGTGCCACGTGGGAAAGTGTTCATTAAATTATTCCGTTTTCCATACTGCTTTGATGTTGCCTTTGTAAGGGGGAAATTTAGTTTGGAGTTTGCTTTTCTAAGAGGGAGCATAGTACAATTAGGAGATGCTAAATACTCTCTACCAAAACAGCACTGTTTACTTCTTTTGTCATATGCTTTTGTCCTAATGTGATCTATACTGCTAGCGAAGCTTGGGGTTATTCCGGTAGGACAGTTTATCAGAGAATAATAGGTCAAGCTGTGCATGATATCGACGAATATGCGGTATTAATATTAAATACATCTAGAACAGTGGTCCTAAACTGGGGGCGCGAGAGGTCACAAGATGCCCATTTGAAATTCTGTTTAAATCTCATTCTTGTTGCTTTATTACATCTTGTTTTGATTCGTATTCTTACAAACTAGGCCAATATGAGCTGTCCCTGTAACTTTTACTCCACTCCATCGTAATGCTGCCACTCGATTATTTTTAGGATATCACCGTTAGAAAATAACGTAAGTCTGCGATAAAATTCCATGGAGTAAAATTTATTTCAAGTCGGTAGTTTTAGAACATAAAAGGTGTGTCGCAGGCTCAAGGAATTTATGATATTTGCAATGTCTACGAAAGCGTTTTTAATCTGTAGCGGGCCTCACTAAAGCGAACCTCATGGTCTTTTCCGTTTTGTTTTTTAGTATTATATATATATTTTATAATGCTGCTCTTCAATCAAGAAATTTTGGATTGTGGATTCATTCCGTCATTCTATCTTTAGCATATCGTCGCTGATGATTATACAATAACTCGTTTTTCTCACATGTGTCATGGTTTCGTGCGAGAACAAAAAAGTAATTTTTATCGTCTTCACGGCACAAAACAGATGTCGGAGGAAATTTATGATTTTGGGAGAATTAACACCGAAAAAATATGTTTACGGCCTAAATAACACGTCACGCTGACGACAACAATCGGCGATTTCAACAAAATGTAATCGCTAACGTCATTAGCGACTTTATTTCTCAGAGGTCGAGAGTAAATTTGAAAAAATGAAGACGTTTGTAATCGTTGTGTATTTTTAACACACAGTAAATGAATTTTTGCATAGCTCAATAGTGATGAAGTAAACAATTGATTGAAATTTAACGTGTCATATGTAAACGTTTAAGCAGAAAATATATTAAAGTGCAAAAAGCATGCGTTTATTGCGTTTAATTTTACTTAAAATTTTTCATCATTCATTCCATTATATCTTCAACTTTGAGTATATTTAGCATAACATATATTTATTATAATTAAACTAATACGACGAAGCATTTTAAATGCTAGCAGTAGGCCTATCGGTCATGGATTGGAATATTTTGCGTAACAGAAAATCATCCTAGTAAAAATTGATTCTTTTACCTATTTTTATCAAAATTATTTGCCGAAAAGCGGGGAAAAAGTATAAATTATATTTTCTAATATTTCACGCGTGAACCACCACCGTGTTCAATATTACTCCCCATTAATTTGACCTCTCGTTTTCAAGAAATTCATTAAATTGTGTCTTATAGCTACTCTACATTTGAAAGTACACAATATATGTTATTAAATTTTGATTTCACTTTCGTTCGCGAAGTACAGGACTGATATTGTGCCGCGGGAATGGCTGGAGTAAACGCCTTGTTGGCGGCTTTCTAGAAGTAAGTACATTTGGTTATTAAATACGGCGTTACATAATTTTTAATTTTTCGACGTAATGAAAATGAAAGCTTAAATTAGAGGCTGCGCAAGAGAATGGCGGCAATGCCCAATGTTCATGCTTCTGAAAACAAACAAGAGAGCTATGCTCAAATATATGGACACGTAGCGCCACCAAGTGGCAATAATTTTGATGACGTCATAGCGAGAGAAAAAAGTAATAACCTTCTGGAGAAAAATTTTATCTTTAACCACTGAAAATATCAAAGCAATTGGTCCAGTATTCGAAGAGAAAAGCGATTTTTTAAAAATGGAGACGGAGACAAATAACAATAACAACAAAATTTTGAAACGATCGTTATGGCCACTAAACGTGTCCAATAACTGACTAACTAATCCCACACCGGACACGGATTGGTAACCGGACTAGAGACCGTGGTTCTCCATATGATTAACCCATCTTATCGGCTTCCCGCTCTTTCGGGATGAACAGGTAAATCTTATCTTATGCCGATTTTATTTCATCGTCAGTAAAATACGTGACAAAGTAAAAAAATCGTGGCTATTATTCGGAATTATTCTAAAATTAGCTGATAAACAGATAAAGTATTCAAATACTTTGATAGTCGAATATTCGATTCGTTTTGGACAACCCTGCTCAATCAATCAATCAATCAATTTTATTTCGGTCGCTCTGGTATAAAACGAAACAAAAACAAACGAACAAACACATAGGACCTGGAGGACGGGCATAACTTAAAGAAAAGTTGAAAACGTGAAAATACGCGCCCGTCCACCAAAATACGCGCCTCTGAAGTCATCATCAGTTGTGACGAAATGCTCTACTTTGGAGATGTCAACTCTGTATATTTTGTAAATTGTAAATCGTTTGTCAGGATCCCAAAAGATTTAGGCCCACGATCTAAAAGAACCCGAACTTTCCGTGCGCCTACATTCTTGCAATATGCATTCGCGTAAAAATGTAGTCAGGTAAAACCTTCTTCTAAATACGACACCTAGCCACCACTTGCAGCAGAAGTACATGTACCAGTACTATAATACCAGAACGCCAAGTTTATTATGTTTTTTTCTGAAAATATATGGGACTGAATAGTATTTAGACTAGGATTGGATTGGTACCGGTGCGGTATATGTGTGGTGCGAAATAAATATCTAATAGGGCTGTGTATTATTGTATGGCGGACAATAACGAGCAAGTAATAGAAAATGATAGGGGTGAAGATGAAGAAAACTTGAATCAGGAATTAACAGAAAAACTGATTCATTTTCAGGTTAGCTTTGCTATCATTATAGGCTATGCAGTTACTGAATTATATTAATTCACATTCTACAATAACTTAATCTATGAATACATCTGGTGAGTGAAGCAGGCCTAGCCCACCTCTTCATGCATCCAACTTGGCAATTCTGTTTGGGCAATTTGGCATTAGGTGACTCCAATTATAATCTGCTTGACGATATCTTTTCAGGAATATTTTTTCTATCCACAGTACATAACTCCTTTTGCTGTTTTGACTATTTTGGTATCCAATTCCTGAATTTGACAATACTCATAAAATTATTAATTTGGTGTGGCAAAAGAATTTATTCTTTTTTTTTATTTGTTTGTATATTCTTCTTACTGCAGTACTGAGTAATTGATTTTATGTCTCGCTTTTTTCACTCCCAACCTTGTCATGTCTCGATGATTGTATGTTTGTGTGTATATGCGTTGTATGCATGCGTTAATTAGTTTTACTACTCTTACTGTCTTAGGTGACAGGGTGAGCGAACACGTACTACTTCTTCTATCAATACCTCCCCACCCAAAATATGTACGCTTCAAACCTTGCTTGAGGTTTCGTTTGCTTTCCCGACCCTATAATCAGTTTTATTTATTTTGTTTTTTTCTATCGCCTATTGCTGATTATGGAGTCAAAATAAACTTATACTTATAGTAGCGTATCGGATTATTGTTTGGGAAAAAATGAAAATTTGGGTTGTATTTTTACATCACATTTGTGTTTGGCGTTATTTAAACATTTACAGATTTACAGCGTTTACGGTACTTCGCGAGACCCTATTGCTGTATTGCTCTGTATTACAGTACTTTGATAGGATTTTTGCCTGTGTCTTTTGATCTTAATTTCTCTTGACGTTAGAATTGTTATGTTACTTTCCCGTCTGACTGCAGGACTGTGTTGATAATAACCTCACTGATATTATGATCTGTGTAGTTTCTAAGGCAAGAACTTTACTGCATAAATAGCAGTTTTTCACCTACTGACCTAATTTACGTAATATAATGAAGGTGTAGACCCAATTTTGTACTTTAACATGCCCATGTTTGAGTGCAATTATAGCAAATCAAACTATTTTTACCTAACCAATTTCTCACCCAAAATCTGTCATAATATTAAAATCGTATTTAAAACGTCTTTCAGGAAATCACCAACATAGACGATCTGAATAGATGTAAAACTATTTTGAGGCAACATGATTGGAATGTTGAAAGTGCAGTCCAGTCAACATTTCTTGAGGCAGGAATGTCTAATTCTCAACAGGTTGTATTGTGGGAAGTCCCTCTTTAATAATTATCTTTTAGATTACACATGATTAATTGGCGACGCCTTTCAAAACATTGGTAAACACTGTTTTATTTATTTAGTCAAATCTACCACCATCGATATCTGCAAATTCTGGTTTAAGACGAAGAAATGTTGCCACCATATCTCCACCACTTCCATTAAGAACTAATTCTCATACGACATTGTATGAAGCAAGAGGATTACAATTGAGGCAACCTCAGGGAATATTTGAATGGGGATATTATGTTTTATCAATGCCATTCCGATTTACATGGTCAACGTTATTTGGAATTGTGAGGTATTTCTGCATAATAATTCTGCACTGGAGTACTATTAGTGTAAAGCCTTTTGAATATTACCTGTTAAATTGATTACACAGTAAAATTTATCAGGGCCGATCGCATTTCAAATTCATGAGATCCAAAGTCCTTAGCTATTACAAGTCATGTAAGATTGATTTTAGATGTCATTGTAAGCAACCTTGTGTGTAAGACTATTCAACAGAATAATAGCTGTCAAGGGGAAATCAATTCTTCCAGTTCTAAACACCTTCAAAATATTTCTCACCACCAAAAATGTAGTTGGACTTCCATTTGGCCTATTAATTTCAAAATAACTTTGAAACACCTGAAATGTAAATGGAATGAAGAAATGCTTGTTAATAAACAATGGCAAATAAAACTAGAACCCTATAATGATCCTTTTTTAAAATTTGATAACTATTGAATTTTTATTAATTTTTCGCTTTATATTTCATGTGTCTCCTGACTGTTTACCACAGGTTTTTTATGCGTCTCTTTCTGCCTGACACGAGGGCAAGGCTAACAGATCCTCTTGGAGATGTAACATCATTTATTACTGAATATGAAGAATTATATGGTGAACGTCACCCAGTGTTTTTTCAGGTATTTTTGCATATTTTCAAACACATTGTTATATAATTTTCCTACGAAAATCGTTTAATTTCTTTCTCATTGATCATTTATTGGTTATTGATAAAATTGAGTTTTGAATTTCATTGTCTAAGCTCTAAGCAATTAATTCACCATATGTTGTTGCATCTGGCCTTATATATTCTTCACTTCAAACAAAGACCTCAAACAATAAGAAGTTGATCATGAATAATAAAATGGTTCTGAACAAGTCTTTTAAGTATATTACTTGAATCAGGGTAGGTGAATTTTACATGCTTTCTTGCTTGTTCAACCAAAAAAGTGTCCGTCTGCAAGAAATTTACGGAATTCCTCTGAATGATTAGTTTTTATATTTCTGGAGTCTCATAATTATAATTATATATTTTCAAATTTTGAATATCACATCATCCACATGTATATTGTGCAGTTCCGACTAAGCTTTTTATTTTTCATAGGGATCCTATGCAGATGCTCAAAATGAGTGTCGAAGACAAATGCAATTTTTATTGGTTTATTTACATGGACCAGACCACCAAGACACTCCAGACTTTTGTAATAACACTCTTGCGAATGATGATGTTATTCAGTTAGTTCAAAGGAACTTCGTTTTTTGGTCTTGTTCGGTAAATAAGCCAGAAGGATATAGAGGTTTGTTGTTTTCTTCTCATTTTGATCATTTTTCGAGAAATTCGAGAAAGAGTTCAGCGAGGTGTTTTAAAACTTGACTAAAAAATTTTGTATAGTATTTACCTCATTGTGCCATTTTATCTAGTTTACTTATATTTCTTTCATTTCATTGCATTGAATTTTTTTCTCAGTGTCTCGAGCAATGCGTGAAAATACATATCCATTCCTTGCCATAATTTGTCAGTACCAAGGAAAAATGACAGTTGTTGGGAGATTGGAAGGACCCCTTACTTCTCAAGTGAGTTCAGTTTTTTGTTTGTTTTCATTATCTCTAAAGTTATAAAAGACATGAAGTAGGGATGTCCAAAATGAAAATATTCATTCTAATATTTTCAGGAATAGTGAAGTATTTGGTTTTGGCCTGAGTCATGGAGATTTAGGGATTTTAATTTGGGATTAGGGAGTTTTAATTTGTATTTTACCTTCATTCAACTGTGTCGTACTGTGCTATTCAGGAATTAATGGAACAAGCGAGTGCCATTATTGAAAGATTTGAGCCAACAATGATAGCAGCAAGAGCTGAACGAGCAGAGCGTGATATGACACAACAAATAAGAAGTGAACAAGATGCAGCCTATGAACAATCACTTCAACAAGATAAAGAAAAAGTATTTGATTGATAAAAGCACTACCTCTTGTTAGGATATGCATATGTTTGGATTTATACATCGTCCCATATTTTTTCTCCTATAACATCTATCCTACATGGTGCATTTCTGAATGAAATTCCATATCATTGGCAGTATTAATGATCTTGTAACTTGCACATCCGAACAAAGTATTTCCATCAGCTTAGTTAATAGTCTATTGAATCGAAAGTTTACATTTTAAAAAGTTAAGCTCAAACAATTCTTCAAGCCTCAACATCTCTTCGTCAAATTTCACTTTTGTAAACAGGAAAAAAAGAAACTGGAGGAAGAGGAATCAAAAAAGAAAAAGGAACAGGAACTATTGGATAAGGAGAAAATGAAAGAAGAGGCTGAAAATAGATATTTGCAAAGAAAGCAAGAATGCAAGAAAGGTATATATATATATACCAGGGGTGGGGAAAATTTATTAGTATAAGAGCCGCATGCAGTAAGTCAGAAATATGTGAGCCGCATAATTTTTGAAATTATCAATATTAGAGCTCATTAAATCATTTTGCATTGTGACTGTTACATTGATAGTAATTTGGGAGATGCGTGTAGTTTGTGTAGTGCGACGCGAAAACCAGCGTTTGGGCTGTTGACTGCGACAATATCAGCAATATTTTTTTCACAAAATCACAGAGCAATATTCCATGATATAACAACTAAGGGTCTAAGACTAAGAGAGCTTGAGTTGATACGTACGAAGTTTTTGTGATTTGTCACTTAACTGATTTAAAATTCCACGCAAATCTTTCGCGAGCCGCATGCGGTTTATCATGTTTTTAGTTTATCAAGTTCACTTTTAACATCCCATAATGGAAGTTCAATCCTAATCAGCATTATATGATTCATTAAATTGTATTTTCAGCACTGTCAACAGAACCTGACCCAAGCCATTCTGAGGCAGTGAAACTATTAATTAAACTTCCAGATGGTTCAAGATTAACGAGGGTCTTTCTTTCTTCACAACCGGTTAAGGTACGAAACAAGATGCATTCCTTTCAGTCCAAGAGTGACTATGCTAAACTATGCTATCTGATTATTTAATAATTGTCTGTTCTAATAATACCCTAAACAGTTTCATATGAGCTTACCCTGATTTTTAATATCAAGAAGATTGCTGCAATTGCTAGTCGCCATAACAATGGTGTTTAAAAAAGTTGTCAGATGATCACATGAGTCAAGGATGCTTCTTTCTACCCTGTTTTTGATGATTTGTCATCACGTATTTCTGATTTGAATTTATGGTTGTTTATATAACAATATTATTTACTTGGTGTGCTGTCACGATGACAATATTTTCATTTAAATGAAGTAGAAAATGTCTCTAATGTGAGTTAAGAAGTTATATATCATATTTTATGCATTGACTGTAAAACAATTGGTTGTTTATATAACAATATTATTTACTTGGTGTGCTGTCACGATGACAATATTTTCATTTAAATGAAGTAGAAAATGTCTCTAATGTGAGTTAAGAAGTTATATATCATATTTTATGCATTGACTGTAAAACAATTCTCCTTGAAAAAGAGTGATGAAAGCTTTTAGATAGGTATACTTATCTTAGGTCAGTGCTCTTCAACCTTTTTGTTATTGAGGAACCCCTTATTTAATTTTAACATTTTTATGGAACAAAATTAAATTAAAACCTGAAATATTTGTAATTAAAATATTTCTACTTCAACAACGAAACAGAAAGAAGGCAACAAGCGTGAAGTTTAATAACTAGGTTGTTCTTGCATTTCCTTTGCAATCTTCTTGAATTCTCATACTCGTGTCTACACTCTTTATACAACTTCTCAACGACACATCAACATGCTAAAGCAAGAAGTGATTCCCCCTAAAAAAACGCGGAACCCCTATAGAACCCTATAAACTGACGAAACCCCACTGCATATATTGCGGAACCCCTGTTTATGAGCACTGTCTTAGGTATATCAATATCGCTTCAATTTGTTTTTCAATTTGTAATTTATAGTTCGGCCTTGTATTTGATATTTACTTCTTTTGGGTATTTGAAGAAATTTTAGTTTTGAAATATGTGCAACATCTTTCTTATTCAGGCAATTCATGATTTTGTGTTTTCGCAAGATAATGCACCTCGTCAATTTCAAGTTGGGACCAATTTTCCCAGAAAAATTATTCCTGGGTGCTCAACTTCTGAAGTTCTGGAACACGAAGAAATTATGTCATCGCACACCAAACCAAAAACTATAGATGATGAGGATGAGCCTAGGAACACACAATTAACTATCTCCGACGTTGAACTCAAATCCTGTGAAATGTTATTCGTTCAATCAATAGATGATACAGATGATGAGGACAGTGATAGGTGATTGAAGGAATAACAATTTTGATGAAAATGATCTGTGTAATAAAAAAGAAGTACTTTTAGGTACATTTTGGCTTTTAATATTTAGATATAATTCTGCTAGGTAGGTAGGACACTACGAAAATGTTGCCTGCAGTGATACTCCCAATATTGTAAGAGTCAAGTCTAGATAAGGTTTCTGCCCCTTAAAACAGACCCTTAATCAGTCTGTAGGGCACTGTACTTTTCAATATTTGCTTAAACCGATTCTGAAAACTTACTGTTTTCGAATTCAGAGTTTGATCAACAAACTGGTTTACTTTTTTCATGTCTGGATATGCTGCTGTATAAAAAGTGGATAAAGCATCTCCACATGAACTGTTTGAAATGTGTATAATCTAATGCAACTTTGAAATAGTTGAACTTGGCAATACAGGCATTCATGTGATATAAATTCGTGTAGGTTTTGATATATTTGATTCTAGTGTTGATTTTCATGGGTTGCATGTCCCAAAGATATCTGGCTGTATAATGCATAATAAGCATCCGTCATAGTTCTTTCGGATCATCATGAGAAAGGATTTTGACGATATCAGTGCATCATCATACAGTATACAAGCTTTCTCTACCTCGCCTTGAAAAATGTTTGGTTGCGTAGTTGGTAATGTGCAATATATAAGCAGTAAGCATGCTCATTTGCTCTAGAAAAGTTGACCATTTGTTGTTTCTCGTTGTAGGCGTCGCCAAATACATGATTCGCAATTTCGATTTTAGTGCTATTTTTTTGGATAGATCCTAATAAAGAACAGAATCCCGGCACCGCAACTGTTGACTGCATATGCCCTGGTTTTCGCCGCCTGGGTGGCACGGAAAGCGCATGCAATGCCGGACGAAACGCGTACATACTTTAATAGAAACCTGAAACTTACTAAAATTAAATAAATATTGCAATAAGGAGTATTTCAGTTAAAAACTGCAGTGCAGAAAGGTACGGAGTCTAGGTAATATGAGTTATCTATCAAAAATGCAAGTATAGGAATATTTCATAGCCGTCGAATTCGGCCAGGGATTCGTGGAAAATAAGAACATAACCTATTTCACAACTGGCATGGTTCCCTAGAAGTCTCCTACAATTAGAAATAAAGCCTTTGAATGAAATATGCGCAACTCCAAATCTTTTTTGTTTGATGCGCAACGGCATGTAGATTGCTTAAAGATCACCTGCGTCCGCTTGTAAATGAAAATCCAAATTAAAAAACTTGAATGTACTTTTAAAGTGATACGCGTACTTGCTGAACATTGGTCTCCGCAGCTTCGCAACAGCTGATGGTAGCGTGAAAATAAAAATGGTCTAATGATATACATTGTCAAATAAATATAAGCAACGTCAAACGGCAGTCTTGGTAAAACGATATATAAACCCATACTGCAATCAACGAATGTGGTATATCTACTATTCGTGTAACAAATTCTGTACATATATAGGTAATATAGCACATATATACGATGCATTCTATCGCGGTTTTTACATATTCGAAATATTTCAATCTTTAAATTTGATCGGTTGAAAAAATTCACTGTGGAGTTCATAATGGTTTCATTGTTGTAACCGAGTATTATTCATTTTTATTTCTTCTTCTTGTGCTACTAGTCTATTTAATTCCTCATACACAGCTATAGCAAGTGTGCTCAGGGCAAATCGATAGTGATTATCTCTATATAAGAAGTGAATATTATATATATGTACCTATTCTGGAGACTCTTTGTTTTTAATCCATTGTTTTTGTAATTGAGATATTGCTAATGCGCCATGAACGACTAATCAGCTAAATTAGTCGATACTAATTAATTGACAGTGTATCTACTTATCAAAACATTCGTTCACGATGTGCCACGAGCGACTCGATCCAATTAGTTTCGAATATTTGATCAAGTATACTACCAAATTGTTTTAAGTTTTTTTCCCTGATTCTCATTCCATCAGTGCGCGTTTAGTTAAAGGCAATATTTAGAAATTTACAGATATCTAGACTACGAGAAATCTAGACCGGTTATCGAAAAGTTATCCATCCACTGTGCTGTATAGTATTTCTATATACCGATGGATAGAAAGAAACAGTTTGGTTTTTATACTCTAACTAACGCATACAGGACAACCGATTTGATGTGTAGTTAAGGACCATGACTCGTGGATAGAGGGAATCAAGATTTGATGGTTTCTTCATGTGAGTTCTTATGATATAAAACTTCAGACTAAACACGCCTTTTGTGCGGTTGTGAATAGGGATTTGTTCAAAAAGAATTTTTTCAAATGAAGTTTTTTTTGCCTGTTTTGTTCAAAATGGCTGTACTATTTGATTTTTTTGTATTTAATAGGTTGAAAAAAAATGGATGTAAAAACTTGCCAAGCGCTTCTTATTTGCAATAAATCCTTCAAAACGCCACAAATATCGATAGAGGCTCATGCACACCTTCTCAAGCTGTAGTTCAGTGGTTGGCGCAGTAAGACGCAACCGATAAGCCATTACGTGAACGACCCTGCTGCGATGAAACCATCTTGCGAAAATTGAAATGCGATCGAATAAATCGAGTTGAAAATCGATCGAGTTTGTATGGCCTTGAAAAACTCACTTAACCGTAAAAAACAAAGTATGCTAAGCATAAATTAACCAAACAGTATTAACCGTAACAATGACTTCATTTTATGAAAAATATGTCAATACATGACCTCGAAATCCATATTATGGCGTCATAACAGATTAGTTGTGGCGTCTTTGCATCAGAGGCATCTTACAATTAACATAGACTATAGGTTAGGGCTGCCATACCGTTCGGAAAATTCCGGACATGTCCGGAATTTAGGGTTAAATTTTGCGTCCGGGAAGAATTTAAAAAATGCTTAAATGTCCGGAATTTTACTGCATCTGCAATCGTACTGGGCACACTGCTGATAAAGAACATTGTTATTTCGTACCGTGCGCATACTTTTTACTACGAGGTCATGAAAATAGTCATGAACTGTACGGAATTTTGCTTTTTCAAATATGGTGACCCTACCATCGTTCATATCAGTAGATTACCTCCGATATAAGCATATTCTTCATTATCGCCACCCGCTCGTTTTGCCGAATGGCTGCACTTGATTGAATTGCTTTTGTAGTAGGCTCGTGATCTAATTTTCATGATTTTTCTTACTCAAAACGTCTCTCTGATATCTCGGCTAAACATTCCGGGTAAAATCTTATGACTTTGGTGGAGATATAAAGTGGCGATAAATGTACGCAATAGTGGTGAAGTCAAAATAAAAAATTTTACTTACATTTTTGAAATTATAATTCCGGCTGCGTGTGCAGCTGCCAGAATGCAACGTTTTGGTGTAGTTTCGCGGCGATGCAAGGGGTATTTCACTAAAAAATGGAAAAAATACAGAAAAAATTTGATTTAAAACAAGCCCTCATTTTAAAACATGATGTTTTTTTTAGAATTGATAAAAAAACAAAACCCTAGTTGTGAAGTCATACTCAGTAGTCGAAAAACATGTCGCAAGTTGGAAACAAGTTTTGTAACAATTATGGTAATATTTATTTGCTTACAATGAGCTGATACTGGTTGACTCTCTATACCAACAATTGTTAATGTACGATTCCCGTTAGGTGGTGATGAAGACGCGAATTATGAGATATAGACAAGTTGTCAACACACATTCTTGGATATCGGTTTCATATCCTCCAACTTCGTTATTACTGCTTATCTCTAATTTATGCATTTAGCAAAAAAAAACATTTTTGTTATAATTCTAAAAAAAAGACATCATAGTTTGTGACATTTGCTGCATGTTATTAAACCTGACCACCGTGGCTATTCACGCCAGTTAAAAACTAACATGACAATAAAATCTATGAACCTACATGGGTGACGTCACAATTGTGTTTACGTTTTCAAAATTCATTGCAAAATGCGAACAGCCGCATTTCTTCGACCGATTGAGTGAAGGTTAGCATCTGCGTTGTTTTTGTGAGTTGTTTTGGAAGAGAGGTTTTTGTTCCAAATAAACCGTTTAAAAGTGTCTAGCTTTATTTTGCGGTTTGCAGTACAGAAAGTCATATAAATCGTGAAGGCAATGTCCTAATGGCTGTTCTTATTCGAGACAGGTTGGCTGAAAATTCGAACATTTATGAACAGTCGTAATAATTTTCAACAACTTTGATAATACCTCGACATGTTAGTAAGATCTCATTGTCTGGACACTGGTCCGTGCAATGTCCCGCCTCTTGGGGACAACCAATGCCTGCCTTGCTCATATATGAAGTAAGTATTGATTTAGGCCTACATGGCGATGCGCTTCTCCAATTTTTCAAAAGGCGTAAATACATAAATATTACAAGAATAAATAATTTGTCTAATCTCAAATGTAGGTACGCACCTGTGTCTTGCGTGTTCTGGGGCATTATCAAATTTCTAAATCATAGATAGTGTCTCATTTTTATCAATGAAACCTTGACAAAACATTCTGTTTTAGACACTTTAGACATTTTACGCACCTTTCATGGTGCATAATACATATACGTAACCCTTCTGTGTGTACTCCGTTTTGAGGTATATTAAAAGTAGAAAAATTTTATTTGAAGATGATCTGTGTACCAGAGAGTGGATATTTTTGCTGTCGGTTGACATTAGTTCTAATTTTGTCAAAAGAATAGCGGATGTACTGAACTTGAACCTTTGCAGCAAAAACTTTATATATGTGTGTGTGCTAGTTTGACCCAATTGATGAGCAGCAATTTTGCGAGAGATTTTTATTGATCGGTGAGGTCTTCAAGTACTGGGCCACACCTTGAATACACCCATATGAAGTTTTTTCTACTTCGAGCAGTATCTTGATATCAGTTTAATATTTGCGGTGTAACATCCGTTAGCCATACGCGTGCCATCTATAAATTAGCAGCCTGATAAAATATCGATAAAATTATTATCAACAACTTCATTTGGCGCTAAAAAAGCGAGTATCAATCGAAACCGACTTCGCTGACCTTCTCCGTGTATTCGCACTAAATTTTAGAAAGGCGATGCGACGCAGTCATATGAAGCGAAAGCTCGAAGACTAACCGCAGTTTTACAACGAATGTTGTTTTGACGTCTGGGCGTCGAATAGTGAGAATAGGAGTCATATTAAAGAAACATAACGCGGCCGAGAGTAGCGGACGTATCGATTCACAGGCGTAGGTTCGTGTGCGGTGGGATTTGGCGATGAAAACAAGGTCACGAATCGTTAAAATAAAGAGAGAAAGAATAAAATGAGAAGATGAAAGAAGGGTGCTGGGCAAAACAAGTAAACAGTCGATGTATGATTCGACCGACGTTCTCGTAGTAGTAGTGGTTCGGTCTGTCGGACTTGTTTTTCTGTTTCATGGTTTCGCTCTTGTAATACTGTAATAGGCCTTTCATGCTCATATAAATATACAGTTTTGCGCCAACTTGTCTTCAATAAGAAATACCTTATATAAGTACCGGTATGATAAAGAGTGATAAATCCCAGGTATTTAAGTATGCCAGTAAAAATCTAAATACGATGCAGTTGCAGGGTTAGAAGAAGGAGGTTGATACTTTACTATATATTTCTTTGATAGTTCAACATTACTATGCCTAGTTAAAATATTGTTCTTGCAGTTGAGCTCCAATAAATACTGAAATACCAAAGTCTGTCAGCTTCATAAGTTTTTTTACATTGTTATACTTATTTATTTTCTTAGTCTTTTGTATCATTGAATTATTCGTGCTCGTCTCATAAGCTTGAACCCAGAGACTGCAGTTGTAACAACAACAAAAAGTGAACCAACAGCTGCATTGTGTTATGGCGCCAGATTTGGACTGTTTATCGCCAACACATGAAATGAAAGGATATTTACGAAAATCCAAAAAATGGAGCAAAAGATATTTTGTGCTTAAAGAAGGACCACCACCTCGTTTAGAATGTTATGATTCTGCCAAATCATACATGAAAAATGGAAAACCAAAAAGATGCATTGAACTCGAAAATGCGTGGAATATTGATAAAAAAGTTACCGCTAAACACAAGCATCTGATCGGTGTTTATACAGAAGAGGAGTACTTTGCAATGGCTGCTGAAAATGACTCAACTCAAGAGATGTGGGTGAACGCACTTCAAAAAGCTGTTCTTGGTTATAAAGGTTAGTTGTTTATTGTATCAGTGTTTTTATGAATATAGATATTGTAATTAGTCAATTTCCCTGAAAGATATGATCCAGATCACTTTTCTCTACAAACTCTCTTTTTGTGTTACCTCAATTACTCTTACGGTATATGTTTTCATGAATAAAACAATCCTGAAATTGACTTTTATTTGGTCATGAACTTTAATAAGCAATGTGGTTATTATTTAAATTATGACTTATTAAAAATCACGATTCTTAAATGAATTGAATAGAATTCAACAGCACAGACTAACGGTATTATGTATTAAATCTTTTGAAATAACTGTTTTTATTTTGAGTTGATCAATTTAACTTTGTCACATAAGTGTGTGACTCTTGTTGATCACTCCCTTTATTGAATTGAATTTGAGGTATTTCCGCTTTATTATCTGAAAGCCTTAGTCAGGTTTCCCTGGTATTGTTATTTGTAATTGTTTCAGAGTTTCTGTGAATTCTATCTGTTGTTATCTGGTCATCACCAAACACAATACAACCCAACATACCAATCATGCTTCCTCACTATTGCTTTACATAAGGAGTGATAGCATACAACTTTTAACTGTTTGTAACTGTTATTGAAGTGACTTTTACTGTACATATTTGCGTTTATCTAAGCCAAAAGTTGACTATACCAATTCTAACAAACAAACATTTGAATGTGAACTATACTTGGCTAACCTATATAACAATATAGGTATATTCTATTTTTCTTGTACAACTATCCTAATATGAATTCAGTCATAATTTGATTTCATTTCGGCTATTTTTGTTTTTCTACAAGCTAGTTAGTTTTAAATTTTGTATTGTTAGTTGCATTGACTCAAATTAGAGATTAGTCTGAAATCATAAAACCTCGTTGTGGCGATATGTAATTACCAATATGAAATAGTAATCTGTAATTAAATTCGTCGTCTGCCGCGCAATACCGTTATTATCCGCTCGAATTGGAAGTTGTTAGGGAGTCGAAAGTAGACAAACAATCGCTTCGTGGAAGCCGTGTTTTCCGCAACGGTGAGTCCGCTCACTTCGATGGATGGTCGCGGCTTGATGAGCAATAACAAAATATCTTTTCCCGCGTTTACACTCGGTTTAGCATTCCCTGTTTAACTTAATAACACTAGAAATACCGATAGTGTTGCCCAGTGTGATTTTTGTTGTCGAGTTAGATAGTACCCATACTCGCGCCTTTGAACGAACTCACATTCCTTCTTTTGTATAGTTGATTCGATAGGACGTGGAGTACTAAAGTCGGAAGTAAAACACAATAGGTGTTTACTGCTGTGCTAAGTACATCTCAGACTCTGCTTCAAGCCGCTCTCGTTATATTTGGGCCGTCGGTCATTTATTCCCCATCTCGTATCAAAACATAGTGCCGATGTTTGCTGTTAAAATTTAATGAGCTCATAAGCGTTCGTTTGTTTGTTTGCTGCAAGGTCGCGTTTTGATGCAGCGGGTTCAAACTGCCATCTTTGTGGATAAATTGGACTTTGTGCGAACCGGGATGTGTTTTGCTCTATTTTCCGCCACTGTGCTGGTTTTCATAATTTTCTCACGGTTGGTCGGACTGATCAAACAACATGTTTTTTATGCACAGATCGTGATTTCGGTATTATAATTGTTGAACTGTAACGTTTGAATAACATGGTAAAGCAGCAAATATCGATTTGTTAACGAATTACAGAAATTTTAACCGAATCGTATTTTCCGACGACATCTTTTTACAAAGATATAACGATCTCCAAAACAAGTAAAAATTTGTGGTTATTGGCGTAGAAAAAAATTGCCAGAGAAACCATTGACGTCAACCGGACAATTTTATTTGCGGAATAAACCTAACTGATAAAGGTGTTGTGTAATATATCTATCGGATGGTGGTTACATGAACTTTGGCGGTAAAAGTTTGCTTTACACTGTATCTATTTCAAGCATGATTGCTACATTGTTTGGTTAAAATCTTCTAATGCTAATAAAGTATAAAAAATGTTGCGGCGGTATTAGTTTGGTAAAAGCGTCCCGTGCTGATATCTATAGTTTGATTACTTTTTTAATTATTATTTTAGTTTTCGAACGGCTGAACGTTTTTGAACGGCGCAATCGAACGTATTTTATATTACACAACAACTTGCATTTGCTATCGCCTGTCTGATCTAAATATTGCAAATGACGTCGCCGATTTTCTTAGTTTCGTATCAGACAGGTAATCTCAGTTTATTTCTAGAGTGCCAAGAGGCACAAACTAACTCGCTTTAATCAGTGTGTTGAAAAGTTGGTAAATTCAATGCGTTCTATAGCGCTTACACGTACACATTCGGGTTAATATAACAGTATCAGCCTACGAAAGACGTTATCGTTGACGCGAGTCACCACTAAAATATTTGGCATTCCGGAACCGTACAATTTATCCGACATCTTCCGACGTAAACAAACATCGATAGAACTTAGTTTTTTTTTGTTATCATCACCCGTTCGCCATCGAGAACAGCTACACTATTGTAAATAATATCTGGTACAATGAGTCTAAGCTAGCTTGGTCGTGACATGAGCAATCTGTCATTAGAGGTATGTTTGTGAAAAGAGTATCCAGTATTTCGTTTTGAATTTGATTTTTGAAAAATATAGTGGCAGTAACTCTAATTAACGCATTTTCATATCTTGTGCAATTGTCGATCGCTTTAGAATTCCAAACCGCAGCGGAAATACTACATTTCCGATAATTTGCCTTTATTAAGGTGGTTAAATTATTTTTGCCCGAGATAATTTCATAATATTCTTGTTTTGAATAGTGAATGTTTATATCTGTCATTGGCTAACCGCGCTAGGATGTTTACAGCAAAATTGGCGACCGCTAATTCCACACTGGGTCTTCTAATAGGATAATTAGGAGGAATAAAAAAACGCCGAATTAGACGCTTGTATAATAAGGCTATATGTAGGTGTTTTACCCCACGGCTATGAAACGCCAGTCTGTTTTAATTGCCCCTTGGAGTGTTGAAGCCGTCGCAAATCGACGAACCACGAAAGCGGATGCCTGATCTCCACAACAACACCGTTAGTTTCGCAGAATCTCACTGAATTATAAAAACTATTTAATTATGCTGACGTCAGTGAACCGTGCTGCGATTTAGCAAACATGACACGATATGTCCGCTCAGATATTTTTGCCTATTTCCTTAAGAATTTTGCGAATTTATAATATTAAATGAAGTCGGTGTATCGATGTATATCTTTAAAAATTCAAAAAATTGTCCAGATTATATGCAAAAGTTTTAGGGAGATACTGGTCAATTAGTTTATCACTACTAGTTAACGCAGCCCTCCAAAAAAACACATATCCATTACATATCATAAGTAAATTGCACGTCGATTTAAGGACATTTATATCGATCAAACGAACCAAAAATAAACATCTGCACCCTAACGGCGATAGGTCGCCAGGTTCAAAATCCAATCACGATTGTGATCCGATGCACCAATCATCGATAGCGACACGTGCTTGCGCTACATCTATGGCCGTACTCGGATTCAAATAATATATTCAAGATCTTTAATTGTCTATTTAATTACGGAGTGACGTATAATGTTTTTTGTCTGCATTTTAATGATGTAATCAACTTAGTTGGCGCCCTCGGCAGAAAAGTGAAATTCTAAAGCAATTTCAGGTTTCCGACTTGGAGTAACTCGATTCCATTACAAAAAGACGAAGCGTGGCTAATAAAACTTCTTTTAATGGAAGATTTTGTCAATCATTGTTTAAGATAAAAGGGGTCGGATACCTTTTGCTAATGTAAATTATGTTCTTTTATTATTTGTTTGTTTGCGCGCGAAAATTTCTTCTTCGAGATCCAATTACGCCGTAAAACTAACTATGTAAATCTAAACGTCGTAGCTTTACTTTGATGCTTTAATTTTATTCGCCCGTGAGAATGTTCGCACTCGGGAAACAGCATTCATGTATTGTTAGATATATCGATGGATGGGTCGCCAATTGAAGTCGCACGCATTGCAATGTCAAATATCATTTACCTCTAAGTTCGTTTTAACCAAACTTCTTTATCCGTGTTTTTGCTGTAACCTCTCAATTGTTATTTTTGCCGATGTGTGAGTGAATTTGATGGGGAATGCTCTGTTGCAACTTTCTAGTCGACTACTAGTAAATGTTGCTAACTTTATTTTTAAATCTAAATGAGTATTGTTTTGGCGCAAAGACTATATTCTATGATAATGAAGGTGTAAATTATCGCGCAACAAATCGTTATTATAAAATGAAATTTAAACAAATACCAAGTATGATGGCGAGTTTGGAAAAGAATGCGACTCTTCTACAAAAATATGGGATATCGGATGCAATCTTATTGTTTTGCGATGTATTATGATATCACATTTCTTCCAATAGTACGTTTTCACCTCCTTGGGGAATGCTACACAATTTCGTGTAGCGTGTCCCATTATCCACACGCGTGCCTCGGTGAAAAGGGTGCTTCCAAGCAACCTTACTTTTTGTTTCAGTGTTGGGTTCTAATATTTTTTGTTACCTGTTATTACACTAATTTGTTGAAACGCCTTAGAGAAGTATACAACAACACATCATAGGCACAACCGGGCATTGTCCTGAACGTGGATAGCATTTCTGTGAACACAGAAGGCTTAATTTTGTTTGACGATAAACTAGCGCACGGTTCATACTATTGTTGCACAGTTGACGTGATGTTCTACAACTACAATACTATGATATTGTGTTGAATACACAATTGGATCATATTTTTCTCTTGGAATAGGCTATTGCGTAGAATGGGTTACCACGAAAATTAAGCCACATGCTACTACATTTTCAGTATTGTTTTTTGAGGAATACCGATGGATGCATGGTATTTATTCTCGCTAGAATAAGCACAGATTGTCTCTCCTTACTTCACATACGAGTACGTGACCGAAGATTATTTTGGCCGTGAGCCAGAAATTCACAGACAACGATATATTTCATTTGCGTATCCGATTCTGTTATCCGCCTTGCGGAAAATAACAATTGATCCGAATCATTGCGTCTGTCTTTTTACAATCTAGCCGTTCTAGCGTATTTGTTTTCTTTTCCTCGGGTTATGTGTATTGCCGTCAGCTCGCCACATCCTTGTTTTGTCGGATGTCAGAATCCATAAATTATTGTTGCCCATTCCCCATTGTAAAACAAAGATCAGCTAGACAATTTTCCATATTTTGTACCAGTACAACTATGGCCGATTATTTCTACTGAAATTTAATACTTCAAACTTGTAGATAATTGTGTGAGAGACGCTTTCATCGCCCTGCGGCCACTCATTGTCATAAAACTCGTCAGCCGGTATTGACATTTTCCGTTTTCTTTCCCACAATTTCTGCGATAATTGTCATCGTTTCCCTATGTAGCAAGTCTATTGGGTATTACAATGACGTAGCTGGCAGGCGCACCATGTTTCAAATCGATGCATTTATGGCGAATGTTTTAATTTCCGAGATGCTTTATCAATTTTTTCAAATATGAAGATGTCGGATTTATAAATTGATCGTATATCGGACTGTAAAGAATAGTAAGTTGCAATGAACTTAACAAGTTATTTTTATTGCGTTTGAAAACACCACGAACTAGCTGTTTGACTCATTTTCAAGTATCTTAGCTTACACAGCGCGCTATCGCGACCACCCCGACTGATAGATACTTCCCCGCTCTCTTGATCGGAAAGGAAACACTTCAAAGTGCGGGGTGCGCATACCAGTGGCGTTGACTAATATGTTTTTCTACGCAGATTTGAACACGTCCCATTCTTATGATCGTACTTATCACACAGTCCGCGACCCACATTTGTTGCTTTAACGAACGGTTTTGCCTGGTTACGCATACGCAACCGTCCGTATCAGGGCGTTAGAAGAGATTGTTTTCCCCTCGTTGCGTAAATAGTGTCTTCCGAGTCATTCCCACATAGTTATTACTCATATCATTTCAGACCGTTGTTTACATTGTACGTTGTGTTATCCCACGATATCATTCGTTAACCTTCGTTTAGATTCACATTATTACAACATTATTTTTGTTAATAAAGAATGGGCAATATATTTCACCCTTGGTTGTTTACTTATATTTATGGTCGGGTATGGTTCACTGATAAAACGAATTACCAAATTGTGGGAAATGAATATTTATTATTGCTGCCAACATTGTTTACTTTTGTGTCTTCTCCATATGCGTCATTCAACACTCTTTATTTTGTTCACCAATTTACCATCATTTCCGATTTGACTCAATTTCTAAATGTTTTTGTCTTTATTTCAGGACATATGAACAGAACTCATATCATGTACAAGCACATCTGGCAAGGCAATGTCGACACCAGAGATCTCGAAAACTGCAGCAACGACACCAGAATCAACCTTCAGGGAACTCATCGCTGCTGTCTCACTGACAAAACCATGGTTTTCATCTGCATCAACGGCTCGGGTGCCTCTGATCTCTATCGACATAAACCTGTTGAAATAAACATCTCAAACATCAGGTCTTGTGGCCATAAAGACAATTTATTTTTTATGGAATCCGGTCGCTACTCTGGGATAGGTACTGGGAAATTGTGGATGGAATTGGACGATGCCACCATAGCTGATAATATGCATAGAACAATTTTACAATTTATGATCACGTCGGGACAAGACGACGCCAGACCACGGTCATACAGTTCCGGTTCTGGTTCAGGACGATCCGTTAATCGATCGCGACATTATTATAATCCACCACCTAGTCAAGTTGGAATGGGTAAGCCACCTACAACAACCACCGCAATTTCCAGACCCGTCCCATCCATAGGGGGTCGTGACCGATGCGAGAGCTTTCCTGCCACACAGGCGTCCACATTAACTGACGAGGCCCGGTATCGCACATCTAGCGAAGGAGAAACAACAATGAAACGTCACCACCCTTTCCATATGATTCGGCGAAAAGCAGGATCCGTGAGTCCCAATACAAGGGCCAGAGTTTACTCACATGGCAAGAGACCTCTTTTTCAACAATCTTTGCTCCATACTCGAACAGCGTCTCTGCCGGGGAGCAACTACAGTTCGAGTAATTCCAGTATGGAACACTTAAGTAATCACGACTATTCAAGGAATGGACAATCACCTGCAATGAGTGAAGAACACGGCTCTTCTGACGAATTCAGCAGCAGCCCTATGACGAATCAAAGATGTCAAGGATCTCTTCACCATTCATTATATACGCAGTCCCCCCATTTTGACCACTTTTCTCACTTTGAATGGGCACCACCACCTCCTACAGTCCCGCCAGAATCCAGCCCACTTGTTTCAGAAGCTGGCGCATCCAGTCCCCGTGTGCTTAGCAGCGATTACGCCGTCATGCAGTCATCACATTCCCGCAGTCATTCGCTGGACGATAATCTGAGCTGCGGCACTGCTGCATCATCTCTTTCCACGTCCCCGCAGGCACCGACGCATATACCCGGTGTATCCATCTCACCTGATGCTTGCTATCAATACAGTCAATCACCTTCACAAAGTTCATCTCACTCACATTGTGGGGATTTCAATCTTCTGTACACACCAACCTCTGCTTCACCTGCCGACGCGGATGGCTGTCCTTACGCGTTCATGAATCCCGACGACTCAGACACATATCCACACGAAACTTCGCCGCTTTCTTCAGACTATACACCAATGACACCTGGAAGGGGTGCAGCAAGCTCTACCCCAACTGAAGATAAAAGCGGATATGTGCCGATGCGACCTCTCGTAAGATCGCAACCTCAAGACATTGGCGGTTCGGTACGAAGAAGGTCTTTGTCAGACAATCGCCTGGTGAACGGAAGTTATTCGCCGGCTTCTCCTCTCAGTAGATCTCCCGATAAAAGCAACCATGTTGCTAGATCACTGGCTTCGGCCACTGCTTGCTCAAAATGCAAACGAAACGATTTGCCACATAGTTATCCTTGCCAACACTGTACCCAAATTACCGTTGCTGTCAGCAGGCCGTCTATTCCATCGGTATCATGCCACGGACTTAAGGTCGACGCCAAGAATGATTTTAGCATGGACTCGAGTAAGATGGCTGTAAAACACCTTGAACAGCCACCGGTTAATTATTCCGACGATTATGCGAGTATGGGAAGTCTAACCACAACAATCGCGGCAGTACAAATTCGCTCATCTCCTCAAGATGTTGTTTCTAAACAACAAAACTCACCGAAAGATTTTAATTTGGCGGAGGGTACCGATATTGATCACGAATATCTTCCTATGAGTCCAATGAATGCTGCAAATCCAAAGAAATCGATTGTGTGGAACGTATTATCTATTGCTGCAGAATCCGTTCATAAACCAACGTCGAATTCCAGCAACTTGTCTTCTGGTGGAAAATATCCTCACCAACAAACTACGCCCAAGTCTGGACAGTATTCTACTCATTCTTTGGATCGCAGGGATAGTAAAGCTAGACGACGAACAATATCACACTTCACATCCGGTTTGGTGACTAGCCAACGGCACGCCGCACCAAGGACTTCAACAAAAGCTAGAAAACATCATTCATTACGAATATCTACAGACACAAAATCCTCCTCAGTCTCGGAAGCATCGTCGAACAATTTGCAGCCACCACTGTCGCCTGTTGGTGGCGAATACGTCTCCATAAACTACGACAAAGCCAGAAAACAAGTTGGCCCCACTTACCTAAGCCTAACAGATGGCGGGGCGTCGGGGGAGCCAGAGGATAAATCGTCAGAATTAACCCATACTCAGTGCAATCGCAGAAGTCCAGTAGCAACCAAAGCTACCCATGACTCAAACAGGAACTTATTACCCACTAAGCAAAGCCCGCCTAAAGACGATTATTTATTGCTGAAACCGGGCGAACTGACCACGTAAAATACCCAATGCAAAGTCAGTTTGCAGTTCTTATTGAAGACAATTGGCTTTATTCAAATATATATCTCACTGCTGCTAAGTTCCCGATATATTATTATTATATCTTATTTTTGTCTTTGCTTTTATGATTATTATACTGTTTAAGTCACTTTTATGTTATAAATTTTTGCACGTTTTGCCCAGGCAAGTATGGGACATTACTAGAACGCCGTATCCGTATCTGACTTAATTTTAATTGAAGTGTGTTTATATCACTTATCCACCACTTTTCAAATAGGAAACATAGCATGTCTATAGCCATAACTCAATTCTCTCACTTGTATTTCCACCTTTCGTTGGATGTTCAAATATTTTAAGTCTTTAATGTCGTTATTGTTAAGTTGTGGTTTCGATTTTCGTGTTTTGTACCGCAAAAAAATTATATGATTACTTATTTTCTGTACGTTATTTGTAAAAACTGGCGATTCGGACCAACTTAGTTCATGAAATCAAATATTGCGCAAAAATCTGACCAAATTCATGCGCTCTCCTTATGTACTGTACGCTGGATTGAAGTAACGCATTTTTCGCACTGGTTTTCTGCCTTTCTATTCTTCAATGCACTTTTTGCTCATCACAAAAACACTTATTAGAACTATGATCGGTACTAGGAAATTTCTTCCTTGTTTGTCATATTCATTGTATCGCACCAATAAAAGAATTGTTATTTTTGGTCACTGTTCGTGTTCCCCTGCTGTTTTTGATTTTTCTGCTGTCTTTGCCTCTATTTCTTATTGATTTCCATTTTTCTGTCTTGTTTTAATGTATTTTTGTGCTAATTTATCGCTGTTATTATTATTACTATTATTAATATATGAAAACGGTGACACGATATTTGAGTGCTTATGTGGTCGATAGTATTTGTGGGAATTTGCTCGATATTTCGTGTTTGCCTCGATTAAGGCTTGAACAGACGAATGCACTATTTTACTGACAATCCTGATGGTCGTCTCCAATTGTGTGAATCATTCCGCGGAAAGAGAGGTGATGTGCACGATTTGCTCATTCACGGCCCTTCTTATGGGGTGACCGTACATTTGAACCCATGTGTATATCCACGGGTTCAATCTATATGCGGGTGCTAAAACCCATGGGTTAGGGTTAGTATGAGTTCAACTATCCGAAAAACAAAAAAAATTCCATAGGTGCAATAGCATACAGGTGCAATTGTCATGGGTTCAAATGTAATGGAACCTTCTTATGGTGGTGCAGTGCAACGAATTCCATCAGCATTCTATCCATATATATAACGCGTGTTCTGCGAATCGACAATTGACGGTGGCTGTTTAGCAACGACTTCGTAACAGTTTTTTATATACTCCCAACCCGCTATGGCGGATCTTATTACGAATCATGAACCGAAATGACCGCCCTGTGAGCTTCATTCAAACATCAAGCTATATGTTCCGATATTCTGGTGTTGTTCGGCGCATGACTAGCCTAATTGCAGACTATTAAGTCGAAAATATATTGTCGTTTAAAAATAGATGTTTTTACCATTCCAGATTTGCCTTGCCACGGTCGAACAGAATATGAAAATAGTCTTATGCAGAACCTGGCAAGATAAAAATTATTATGCAAATGTGCATTCTTTTAGGTTTAGGGTACTATCTTCATTGATGTATGTAGGATTTAGGTTTTATTATCCCCTGTGTCGTAACTACACCTTTTTCAACAAATTGGCCGCATTTTTTATAGGACTGTGACAATATGGAATATCTCAGCTCAACAGATTTTAGTTTTGATAACGTTTTATCCACTCGCGTAATCCAGTTGGAACTCGTTTGCATCGTCACTGTACAGTGAATATATTGACTCATAACGTCACAGAGTTGTGTCGTGGAATAGTACTCTAAACTCGATGAATGATGCGTTCAATTGGCGGGCGACGTTTATTAAGCCCAATCCTTTGGGACACAGAACCACACGCATTGTGAACACATCACAGTATTCCGTCACTTTCTTCTAGTCTTCAACACGTGAAAGTATTCTCTGGTATTGAGGTATCTCAATCCTGTTGCTGTCCTATTTACGTTTTGTATATTTTGTGAAGGCTCATGTCGCGGACGTGGCGAAAATAGCCTTAGTTTCCGATTATTCCTTTGGATGCGGTTGACGCACCGGAGGTGTTGATTGAACCTGGGTTATGGCAATTCATGCTTCCGTGTCTCTAATTTAACAAATCGACAAAGCCTGCTGAACTTTTAACAAATCTTTGCATCCATGTCAACATTCCCTAAACCGAGATACAAACGATCTATTTGTGAACATTAGTTTTATCAAGACTAACAGTAAACGAAACGCCATTGGTATACAAAGAAGATTGTGGTACTGAACTTTTCAAACGTTTTCTTATTGCTATTCCATCAGCGTTTGTTCATATTATGAGGCCAGTCGTTCTCGGGGGACAAACTGCACTGCTGTTCAGTTACGATACTTGGCGTCCTAATTTGCCCATCAATGAGTCAAACAGGCCATCTGTATACGAAATCTGCTCAAATCGATTTGGTTGGATACACATACGTTTCCTATAATTGTTGGAAAATTGATTCGAAGGGTTGACACATTTCTCTTACCGACAACCGTGGATGAAGATATGACTGAAAAAAATGGCGTTTTTATTATTTTCTAAATAATCTAAAACATGAAACTTTCTTTTTTCCAACATTAATAGCAGCCGGTCGGTCCACTACGAGTCATCGAAAAGAGTGAAAACAAAATGCTTTAGCAATTATTCGCTTCTTCGTCATTTGAACTACGGAAAATGACTAAACGGGAGATTTGCGCGAGTGTGAAATTAGCCATTTTCTGTTTTCTTATCTTGTGCAATGACGTCATGTAGCACGTGATATCGCAAAGAGTCCCGCCAAACACGCTCCTATTATTCGTAGTGAGTCATCTCCAATGCGCGGTAAATGGAATAATGGGTGGGGTGCTTGTCGTTTTTAAGCAAGATATGATCCATTCTTACATTTCATATAATCCTCAGTAGAGAGTGCGCCATTAAAAAGTAGATGGTCGCTTAAAAGGTATTAAGTGGCAGTGGTACAATCACATACCTCAACAATCATTCTCTTGAAAATATTTACTTCCTACATATCGAATCTAAATTAAAATCAGATCTCAACAAAGTTATAATAATGCCATTCGTTTATACATTTGATATATTCTGAGTAAATGTGAAGGCAAACGACTATTCGGCATGTTGAAAAGTTCTCAAGACTATTTCCGTACAAGTATATAAATTAGTATTTGTGGGGTAAATATAATTTAATTTTATTCGCTTCATAATTGAAAAAATCTTTTCATAAAATGCAACATTGTAAAGGCAGTAATAAATCGAATCACAGAAAGATTTATGTTTAAATTTTGTTCAAATGTTTTGAATCAACAATCACATTCATTGAAACTTGATACGTACCGGATGTGGCCTCATTATTATCACCATTCCTCATCTAACATGAAATTTGTATATATCATGTTGTAGACATGTTTTCACGCGCTTGGCCGATCAAGTATAAGCGATAAATATATAATGAATGACTTTGATGTGCTTGTGTCAATGCCTTCATTTTACGTTCGGAAGACAATTCAAAAATCCCCCGATTGCCTCCTGTTGTTTGTAATATCTAGATGGGATGTCAATTCCTCACCACGGACAATGGCACGGTCTCTACACAGAGTTGAATTGTCAATTCAAAATAAAAACGGTATAATTGTGCCCAGAACAGTGCGCCCCAGTAAGACGCAGGGATTATAATTATAACCCCAGTTGAATGACCTTCCCTACTTTTTTACCTAGAACTCGCAAAAAATGGTCTACCCTCGCTGATGCCTGCAATTTAGTAAAATTTCTCAGCAACAAAATAAAATTGTCACATGACACGAGATTATAGTCATCCAAACACTACATCACCAGACGAAAGCACTACTGCTTTCCTGTTTTCCACTCTACGCGGAAACGAGGAGGCAGGTGTAGACAATAAGAGTAAACACAACATTTCGTAGGCGGGGTCTATGATCCGTCAAGTGCGTTGTCCGGTTTTCGGGCGAGATTATTGCGTTCCACAGGAAATTCATGTTTCGAGTTTGTATTGATTTCAGTAGCAGATTTTGAAGCCTCATTTGAATACGATTTGGCATGATGTTCAACGAACTATGTTGTATTTTTTCGCCCCCGGTTCAACAAAGCCTAACGCTATAATATTCAAGTTTTGGACGATTTAGACAATCAAAGAAAGTAAACCTCGATACAGCCATGCACCTCGCTTCAATTTAACCTATACTACTTGTCAAACTGGTGCACAAAACTGAGAAAAATTGATATTAGGCTCCAATTTATTCAAAGACGCTGCTTGTGATTTGCCTGTCACTGGATTTTAATGCAGACACTGCATACACGATGTAATGTCTGTAAATGCACGATCTCCCATTCTGAACCCAAGACTTTGAAATGAGGACTGTGATGTCGATGAGCACCAATCATCAAAAAACATAGTACATATTTCATTATTTTAAAAATGGTCCAATTTGCACATATCTGTTATTTGGAATGATAATTGCATGGCGTTATATTATGAAGTTGAAGTATCACATCATAAGAAGGTGTATGAAAATATTTTTCTTCGTATTTTCAGCGTTCTCGAAAAATCAATGTTAAAAAACACGCTGTGGTATCGGTTGTATACAAACGTTGAGATTTTACAATCAAGCAATTTTTTTTGTATTTTTGTTCTTATATTTTTGTATGAGGAGTAAAATCACGTTTTTGTACGCATGTTTCGTTTCCTAGAAAATTTAAATTTAAAACCATATGACGAATAAAACAAGAAAAATCAACACTTTCTTCAGACCATGTACTTAATAGAAGACAAAATAAGGTAGAGCATGCATGGGCGATATATTTATTGGCACCCCATATTCAACTCATAATATCTCTTCAGTATGAAAAAGATCTACCATTATCTAAAATTAAAGATTATATCAAATCTCTTTAATTAATAATAAAGAGATATTTGTGAATGAAATTTTAAACAAAGAAAGTGATTCAATTTTATGAATGACTACGACTCAAGCAATTAATTTACAATACAATAATCCTCGTTCTTATTTTGAACGACTTCCTCCCGGTTTATTTGACAACAGAATAACATTATATAATAATTGAGAGGGGAGTTGGCCATATGTTAATATTGAAAATTCAGTCAAATATTGCTTTTGTCGTACTTATAGTTATTCTCGGTGCTTTAGCGACCTAAGCTTAATAAGACATGCAGGATAAGTATTGCTATTCTCGCCATCTCTACAAATAAATGCTTAGAATTACTTGAAAACTATTCTTGAATTTACTGTTTCGCTAATGTGATTTTTGTGTGCGTATTGTTTTGCATGAAATTACGCTAATTAAGTACATCGGCGTAGGATGCAGAATTTCCGTCAAAACATCCTCAGACTCAAATGCTATATGTATGCAGTATTTGCAGTACCAATAACATACTTGGCAAGTTAGTACATTCACATTTTGTCTCTTTTATGTGTTTGTTGTTAGTAATTTAAACCGAACCACGATTAATAATTCGACTGAAATGGGCTGATTGGGTGTTGTTTTCAAATTTGAAATACTACGCTAAAATTTTATTTTGTAATTGGTGTATGTAATGCAAGTTACTCAGCGATTCGATATTGCTGTTCAAAGTGAAGAACATTTTAATGATGAATTATAAACTTATAATATAAAAAGTGTAAAAATATCAATAAAAACGCAATCAAAACGGATAAACCATAGAAAAGTTATTACAGCACAGTAAAATCTTTTATTTACCGTGCTTGTCA